TAACATCGGTTGGCATACCGCTCAAAATACTTCCAGGATCCATCAGGATTATTAACAATCATGCAATCATGCAATGAGATCACTCACGTCGCTCACCGTTGATATCGGGCGAGGACCCTCGCACCGAAAAGATCGAAAAGCCCGTCGGGGCCGGTGAGGACTTTGCGCGTTCGCTTAACACTGGGGATTAGTGAAATGTGGGTACAAGTGTTATTAAACAAAGCGTAAAGTAAAGTCGGAACAACCTGAGGTTCGTTAGAATGTTCAGCGGAAGCAAGTGACCCACGGGTCGTGATAACTCTAGCAGCAAAGTTTTGCGAAAGCAGGTGACCAACAGGTCGCGACGGCCTTCGGATCGACAATGGTCTAAGATCTGGCCGCTAACAGGAGTAAACGTTCAAGAACAAAGTCAGAACCCACTATTGAGGCTCAAAGCAGCGAAGCGGCCGACAATGTCCAGCAGCAGGTTCATATCTCACTGGATGATCCGTATTGCCGGCGTCTCAGACTTGGCACTTGTTTCCAAAGCGTCTTGTGGCAAATGTAGCCCAAAGGGTGCTGTCCTGGCGACCACGATAGACCTCGGGTCCCGATACCACTTGTAGTGGCACAGTCCCCGGGTCGCTCCAGCTTTACTCTACTTAACTAATATAGGCTTGATTGGATGACTTGGTTGACGATGAAGAAGAAGGATTATAGGTTGAGAGGTAGTGGAAAGACTAGCGTCAGCCAGCTTTAAATAGGGCGCCGCCCTGTACGACTCATTCAGATCATCCATTCCGGGATCGGTTACTCGAGTCGCATTGCGAGATCATTAGCGTCATCATAGACGTGGCTACTAGCCTCTTTAGGCGTATGACCCATACTTATATTTCCACTTATAAATCCACCTTGTGTTACAACACGGCATCACCCGTTGTAGGAGGCTATGTTCGAGGCCAGTCGCAGCGAACTTAGGTTGAGGCAGGAGTAACCAGTGGCGAAGAAGCCGAACCGCCCCTCAACCCGCATGACTCGGATTGGCCACAGGAGCCGAATGGCTGGGATTCCTTTAAGCTTGAGGACGACCTTTCCACGTGCCACACTAACGCCCCACGGGTCAGAATCTGGCATTAGTGCGAACCAAACACCCAACCAGGCCAGCAGCAGCAGCTAACCACAGCCCAGCAGTTACACCACATGGGCATGCTTAGGGCAGCCTGGAGGGACCAGAAAACAGCTTACAGCGGCAGAACTTCAAGGGCAGGTAGCACGGATAGCCCGTGACCCCGCCGGGTTTTTTCCAAGCCGGCGCGCTACATCCCCACGCCCCAATATGACCCTGTAGTGCAGATTGGGTATGAGATTCACCACCGTACTTAGCATGAACGAGAAAGGCGTCCGCTCTAAGTGAATAAGCGCACCCCCAGCAGAGGTTGAGCCTAACGTGACGTGATGCCACAAGCACCAGGTCGTGATGCATAGGTGAAGCAGGCAGTGCCCAGCGCAGACCCAGAGGAGTTCCTTACAGGAAGAGAGTTGCACCGGAGGTGCTCCCCCAACCACCACAGCGCCCACGAGAAGGCCAGCTTCGTATCAGCCGGAATCCGCAAGTGCCCCAACGCTGGGGCAGCGGTGAAGTGGGACCCTACCTGGGGCCAGCCGCAGTTCACCAACGGCTTGCGAGTGGGTAGGCATCAACCCCATGTACCCCAACTTCTTCATGGAAATCCCGCCGCGAAGTACGAGAAAGTCACGGACCGGGCAGCCTATGTGCAGCAAGAAGACCCCCTCCTCACAGCTGACGATAAGAGCGGTACCGTGATTGGAGCCTGCGGCTACACGGCTCCAGGCGCTTCTATGCAGCCTTCGAATGGAAGGTGACCTGTACTGCTGGCTGGCCCTACCCTTCGGCTTCGCTCCCACCTGCTGGGTCTACTCCACCTCGAAGCAGGAGCGGTACCGCCCCATCGGTAAATGGGACGGGAACTGGCCTCCCTCATCGACGACGTGTGCGCCGCAGCCCGCACACAAGGCAAGGCACGCCGCACCAGCTCACGGCGCTATGGCAGGCCCCGCCCTGGGACCCCACCCAGAGCCTGCTGGCGGGGCAACGGCCAAGGACATTTAAGGCGGAGGTCAACCTCCGCAAAAATGTGTTGTATGGGGAAGAGCTGAGCTGCCCGTTGACCCGTCTAGATAGGACAGCAATGGAGGGGCCAGGGGAGGAGTTGCAGGATGGGGGGCGCCGAGGGGCACCGTAGTAAGCAGGAGCGTGGCAGCCGCGCAAGCGCGGTGTGGTATGGAGGTGTGCAGACAGTAAGCTGTTACTTGGGGGGTCACGAAGCGTAGCGAGACACTCAAGCAGTCGTAAGTCGGCTATTGTACGGTGGCAGTATTTTACACTGCAGCAATGAGCCATACTGAAATGCTCGGCCAGTGTTGTACACTACGGAGCTTCCGCCCATGTAATACCGCAAACGCAACTAGAACGATGCCCCTCTCAGAATACCTATCACTTACACGAGCTAGCACTTGCCGATTTACAACGCAATTTTTGACACCCACCCACCCACCCCTCATGCCCGGCTGTAAACCGGGTGTAGCTATGGGTAGTCAGACTCCCAAATGCCGGGCGGGGCCCGGATACCGCTTCAACACACGGGGTGATTTAATCTGACCCAGGGTCTGCAGAGCCGGTACATCAGCACTAGCCTGGGAGGCAGCCTGCAGAGTACCTCGCTGAAAGCTATGACGGGTCTCACCATCTTACTACCCGCTCTTCATCGTATGCAACCGTACGTGAGCCCCCAGGGCAGAAGCGCTAAAAGATGTCTCCCTGAAACCCCGCCGGCCAGAACCTTTAAAGGCCGTGAACAAATACTCAGTCACACGGCGCCGTGGGGGACATCCGGACGGCCACAGGCACACATGTACTGGGCCAGGATACGGACGAAACAGAACCGAGGCTCCCCAGGCCGAGCCCGCAAATAAATGGGCGGCGTACGGCGAACCCGAGGCCCTTGGGTACCCCGCTCCCGAACACACAGACCCAATGACTCCCCGACCTCCGGCCACAGATTTGGGCAAAGGGAGAGGGAAGCCCCGAATGGCAGCTGCGGGTTGCTGGGTCACTGGAGTCCGCTAAGGCCAGCTTCCCGGTATCATGCCTGCGCATGCTTGCCTGCCACATATATAGAATACATAGCAGGTCACGCAGCAGGACTAGCGATACCAAACGCAGCGAGCCGACCCCACGCAGAGAGCCGATTCAGAAACAGGTATCAGACGCAGCGAGCCGACCCCCTCAAATACTGCACAACCGCCGGTACTTGGCCTCATCAAGAGGCACCGCCAAAAACTCCAAACTGCCATCGAGCAACCGCAGACGGCAGTAAGCGGCCTCGAAGTCATCAACAACCCCGGAGGGGTATCCAGCGTGTTAAGGCCAGGGAGGCCTGGGGCAGACCCGCGAGCGTGATGGTGCGGCAACCAGCACTCAACCATGAACACCCGTACGTCCCCGACGTACCGGCACGACGCGGCAACCAGCACTCAACCATGAACACCCGTACGTCTACAAGTGTACACCGTATGGCCCCGCCGTAAGCCTCAAGCCGGAGGCTAGCTCAGCCCGGCCGCTGACTGCCGACGATGAGTGCTATGAAGTCCAGCAACTGCACCACACGAGAGAGCCCGCACCGATCCGCATCGCCAGCCTTCGCAGGCCTGGATCCAGACCAGCGCCTCGTTGCTGAGTAGCAACCACCCGCAAGCCGGCGAGCGTAGGGCGAGCCTGCGTCCACACCAAGGCACAGTAAAGGAGTGCTCGATTCTGCACGCCCAGACAACGAGTCGCTCACCGGGAGGAGAGAGCTACGCCCAGCTGAAAAGCCCGATACGAAGCGAGAAGGGTCGTCGGCCACAGAGCGGCCTAGAGGCAGGATCCCCGAGGATTCAGAACCCTGCGCGAAACAAGGCGGGGTTCAGGACGCGAAGCGTTCCCGGAACACCGCGCAACTAAACCCGCCGGAGGTAGAGCTATGTCCAAGACAGAAGGATCAGCCGCACCAACAGCCACATCCACCGCGGATGAGCGACCGACCAGTGAGACCAGACCGAGGATAGGATTGATATCACGCCAGTCGCTGGTGCCGACAGAAAAATCCAACGCCTGTGGATCGCGCGCTATCAGAACCAAAGAAAGAGCAGCGCTAACATGTCACCAAGTCGCCATTCAGCTCACCGCCGCCGCCGAACCGCCAGAGCCACGCGCAGCAACAGACCAAGCCATCTAGCAATCAGACTCAAGACCACGTACAAATGGCTTCGCTCGTCCCGCGACGCTTGGGCCCACCCAACCCACCCTACTCGCAATTCAAGGAGAGGAGGTGTGCAGACAGTAAGCTGTTACTTGGGGGGCCACGAAGCGTAGCGAGACACTCAAGCAGTCGTAAGTCGGCTATTGTACGGTGGCAGTATTTTACACTGCAGCAATCAGTATCTCACGGGGCAGTAGTACATTGCGTAATTGTGCACGCTTGGCTGTCACAGGCAGTGTGACCCCGGAATGTTGATGTACGAGTATTGAACCCTGTAAGGATGCCGTCAAGGTAGATCGACTTTACGGAAATTGCCTTCGTACAGGTGCTCACGTGGGCTCGTTTTCCTGCCCACGCAGATTGGGTCCGCGACCCTGCCATTGGTTAGTAGAGTTAGCAGCTTAGTTTGGTACGGACGGCACGGTGACTCAGTTGACTTCTCCCGGCACGTTTAATCTGTTTTGCTTCGTTGTTGCAGTGTAAGGGTCCAGGGTTGATGTTTCACGAGCCACTACGGCAGGCATCAAAAAGGAGGATTCTGTCAAGTGGCGTGGCCCTAGGGTAGTTCCGCTAACTTGTTCTCGGTTGTCAGGTGTTAATCTGTTTTTCGTGTGCTGGTCTTGATGGAAAGGACCCGCGGTGCCGTGGTCTCGCGAGTTGTTTGCAGGAACGACTTGCTGCTGTATGTCAGTTCACCTGTGTATGGAAAGCTTTTACCAGTGTGTTATTTGGCGGTCCCCGTAGCTCGAAACGAAGAAAACGTATACGTAGTAAACGGTTTCGGAGGAGCGAAGCGCAGACACGATGCATCGGCACATTGTACCCGTGACGCTATCTATCATAACGTGCAAAACGTAGGCGCCCGGAGGCAAACAACGCACGGTCCACACATCGCACGACACGACAGCATCCACCATGAAAGTTAATCAGATAACATTCACCGTATGTCAGGCACCCACGTGTATGCACGCAAAACTCACATCGAACCCGCATCAGCGTCCATAAAGTTCGTACAGTTTATTTAACGCTCAAAGCGGTTGGCTACTCTCTGTGCTCGGCCCATGAAGGCCCACTCCACATCTTCCATGCACACCGGTTTAGCACGTCTGTTTTGATCCCACTGTAAGGCCACAAAGTCCAAAGTGTCAAATGTGTATGAAATACAGCTGCGCTCACAAAGTCAATAGGCGCATCGTCATGTATACAGCGGTTGCAGGGCCTGGCCATAGCAAGCGCACGGCAGTTGAGGCCGAGGAGCCGTACGGAAGGTCCAAGCTAGCAAGCGCCAGTCAATCAGCAACGACTTGCCTTGGGGAAGCCCGCAACCTGCCTAACAGACGGACGGGACTCATACCGCTAGCAATCGTGCTACACCCCGGAAGGCATCTGTAGCGCCGTTGTCCCTGTTTGCCCGCTAACCACTCAGTTCCTTTGCTCCGGTCAACCTTCGCACACTTGCCCAAACTATTGGACACCTATGCACTGATTGCAACGCCATTGCTTCATCTGCGATGCTTTCTTTTCTGTCATTTTTGCGCACCGCCCGCAGTACCAGGTGTCGCAAAAGTCGCAGGCGATCCAGAACTCCTCGGTGCGGTACAGGCGCCCGCAGGAAGGGCAGGGATCCCCTTCGCCGTCCTCCCAGTCGGCACTCCCCCTGCATTTGGCAGCAGTCAGCCGGTTTAGTTATTGGCATGTTGCGGAGTATTGCAATGCAAGATGGCAGGGAAGCGCACGCTAGGCCTCGCGCCCAAAATGGTTTGCCAAACTCAAGATGACATGTACATGTAGGCAATCCAATCCCCAGCAGCAACCCGGCAAAACACTTACCCGGCGCCATCTTCCGCATCCTCATCGCTCTGCTGCAGAGCGCGGTGGCAGCCAATAGGGAGCATGATTAATAGGGAACATGACGCGAGCAGGAGAGCAGTTCGGACAGCCAAACGGGGCTTACCCGCGGAACACGAGCCGGCGGAGGTCGAGAAGGCCCGCCTGGGCCCCCCGGCCGCTTCAGTCCACCAACGTTCGTGGTTGGACCGCCAGTCTGCTTTACGCGCCCGGAGACAACCTGCATGGAAATTGCCATGTTGACCCGAAGCCCCTCTTGGCAAATCGAAACCGAAGGCATGTCCAAGCACCTTCATCAACTATAATTGTTAAGTGAAACGTGTTGTTATTCGGCCCAACGACGGAACAGGCGCGGGCGCGCGACGGTCGCTGGACAGTCGCCCCACAGGCTTTACCTCATAGCACGTCGGGAGCTTGTTTATTAGTGAGAATAGCTCCTCCCTGCTTGTTCAAAGCGCTTATTTGTTAGTCGACTGCAAACCAGCGAGATACCAGCGCGGAGACGCACCTCTCGTCCCGGTTCAGCCTTGCGCCCTTGTAGAATGCAAGCGCCAGCAGCCAGCTGTCTGAGTGGACCGCTACTAAGCTCACCCAAGCCGCTCGCTGCGGGTGCAAGAAGGCAACCTCAATATCCCGTTGAATTTGCGCGAGCGACGGACGAGGCAACTCTTACGCACCTCCATACCGTCACGAGCGAAGTTGACGCCCTACAATTCAGCAAATTAGGGTTCAAGAAACCGGTTGGCGCAAGAGCGACGACATAACTGGCGTGGACCGAAGCCCCGCGAGCCGCTGCTTACCAAAGCCGGCTCGGGCGCCTCAGGTGGTACTTCCTCCGCAGGAAGGTCCACCGCCCAAGTCCCGTCCGGAAAGCCATAGAGGCATAAATTCTGCGCATAAGCATGAATGCAGGCAAACCAGGCCAGGCACGACCTTCTTAATCACCGTGTGCATAATTAGCCAATGGAAACCGTCAAAAGTCTCCCGTCGGGCACAGGCTAAGGGCACGGTCACAAGGTGGGCTCGGACGCCCGGAATTGCCGCCAAGGGTGAAAGAACTCGCCTCTTTTTGAGGGTCACATAATTGCCAAAGCTTGTCGATGTCTTGTGTAAGCGCTCTTAGAATGCCCTTGCGCCTTCCCAAGTAGTCCTCATAGATGTCGCGAGGTGACCGTGACATTTCAACGTAGGATGTTTACTTCTCCAATGTGTGATAACGCTAGGACTATAGTAGCGCAATTTGGCCTTCATGACCAAGTTGCCTGAGAAATCAAGGAGAAGGCTTGGTTTCGGAAGGCTGTGGTTTCAGAGCGTTCTTGGCGACAACCACTCAACCAGCAAGCACCGGCAAACGCCCCAGTACTGTCATGTCTGGATGTCAGTTCCTGTCAAATATTAATGTTCTCTAGGCTCAAGGAAAGCAATCCTTATTACTTAAAGCCGCTCTGTTACCGTTGCCGGTTACTCTGTTGCCCGAATCTAGGGACGAGTACGGCCATTCCTTGACAGTTAGTCCATTTGACGCAACCCCCTTGTATTGCTTGTTACATGTCTCTAGGAGCCGAAGTCAGGAGTCGTGTCGGCAGCCCAGCAGCCCGTCTGTGCGATCACGGTGGCCCCCTAGGAGCTAGGAGCACGCCGCAGCACGCGTGGCAGGGCACACAAGCAGCAGCATGCGACGTGTGGGCACCTAGGGGCGCCCAGGGTGCCGGGTAGGACGTGAGGACTCCATGATCGACTTCCCGCTGAAGCCCGGGACGATGCGCGGCTGCAATGCTAACCCCGTGGTGAGCGTCACGCCGACGACTCCCAGGCACATTTCAGTACGTCACCTGCACACTGCCACCACCGGAACCAATCCAACAGCCATTACAGCACGCGTAATCTCAACGGCCTCAATGGCCGGGAGCTCGATGCCCCTCAAAGCAAGCCTGCGCTCCGCAATCCGCCGCCGCCGCCTGCTGCCGTACATGCAGCCCCAGGCCCTCCAGCACCCCCTCAATACTCTCCCTCAATTCCGCATCCAGGTAAACCGCCAGCCCCGTAAACACCACCACCACCACCACTGCTTGCATTGCCTTGCGACGCCTAATGCGGCGGGAACCAACACCATCGCTGCCGCCTCCGCTTCCGCTACTACTGCCGCCGGTCCCCGCCCCATGCTTGCTTCCACCACCGTCACCCTCCCCCGTCTCCCTGGGTCGTCTGGTGAGCAGGTTAAGAACGACGCCAAAGTACACGGCCAGCAGGGTGGAGGAGAGGCACATGACGTTGTACGGCATGCTGAAGTCCGGGGCGGCCAGGGGCACGAGCAGGCCGGGGGAGTAAACCTGGGTGGGGTGCGGAGGAGGGCGGGGAAAAGAGGAAGAAGTGAAGCATTGGGTGGGGAAGGGCGTGGGCGGATACGAAGGGCAGACAGCAGGAAGCGGTCAAAGCGTGATGATGGGCAGACCCGTCCCCCTGCCCCTGGAGCACACAGGAGCGGCCTCTGCAGCTATCCCGGGGTAACGAATACACATCGTTACCCCGGGAAAGGCCAAGCACGTAGGACCTGGCAGGGCATTGCGGGTGGGCTGCTGCTTCTGCAGGGTTGCGGCCTGAGCGGTTGGCCCGGTCCTGATGCGACCAGAAACATTACCTGTCCCCCACTGCCGTGTCAGCAGCAGCCAGTCACCGTCAACCGGCAGGCTCCCAAACAACACAAGCAACAGCCACACATGCCACACACCACACCACACCTGTGGCGTTTTCGGTGGGAGGACTCCATCTTTCGGCAATCACAGTACGTTTCGCCTCGCGGCCAGTTATTTTAACACACCACACCCACGCACGCGCAGCCCGCACCTCTTGCACCCCTCCACCGGACAACGCTCCCAGCAGCGGCGAGTCCACCACCTCTCCTCCTCCTCCTCCTCCTCCTTCCCTTCCCTCTCCCTCCCGTGCCAGCCGCCAGGCCAGCCCCGGCGCCCCCGGCTGCAGCGGCTCCGCCCAGCTGACCAGCGCTGCCGGCACGTCGAAGCCGCGGTGCGCGTCCGGCGGGTAGTCCCGCACCGGCAGGAAGGCCTTGCTGAAGGCCAGCCGCAGCTGCACCTCGGCCACCGCAGGCGGCACGTGCAGGCACACGTCCAGCAGCCCCGGCGAGGTGCGCGGGCGGGCGGGCTGCAGGCGGCGGGCCAGCAGGTGCGGGTGCAGGGGCACCGGCTGGGGGGAGGAGGGGGAGGGGGTAGTGGGGTGGGGCCGGGGTGAAAAATATAACACTGACGATGCAACTGACGAGCTGCATGACAAGGCTTCACCATGGGGTGCAAACATGGTAGCCGGTCCATCCCACCCTACCCGAAGGCCGGGGTTGGGGTGAGTCGGGTTCATAGTGGGGGCAGGGGGGGCGTGAGGGTTAGGAGGGAGGTGTAGGTGTTGGTGCCGTACTGCTCCCCCCACCCACCTGGTTGTCGTACAGCACCGTGAGCGTGTGCAGCCAGGGCCGGACGAACCAGGGAAACACCTGGTGCACGCACAGCACATGCGCGGCGCACACAGCCTCCTCCGCCCCTCCACCCGCACCGCGCCTCTCAGCGCCCGCTGCGGCCCTCCCGCGGCCCCCATCATCTTCCCCTGCACCCGCCTCCGCTTCCGCCGCCTGTGGGTTGCTGCATGAAGCCCCGCCGCCAGCGCTGATGGCTGCCCGCAGCGCCTCCGAGCGCCGTACCACCAGCACCATGCCACCCCGCAGCAGCCCCGCACCCGTCACATAGCGCTCCAGCATCACATGCGCGGGGCGGGGGAGCAGGGCGGCACCAGCGACTCCCTGCACAGCAGGGACACCGCCGGGCGGGCCGCCGCTGTCGCCGCCGGCGGTGGAGGGACTGCGAGCCAACTGAAGCGGAAGTGGATGCGGCGGCGGCAGCAGCAGACGCAGTCCGCTGCCACCAGAGCCTTCCAACAGCTCTAATGTATCGTACATTCGCAGCTGCGGTACGGCAGGTGCAGCAGTACGGCCGCTGTTGCTACTGGCGCTACTGCCTGCCGGGTGGTCAGCAGAGGCCATCGCTGCCAGCAGGTAGCACCCCCGCTCCTCCTTGCAACCCCTTCCAGAACCACCACCACCGCCTGGGTCTTCTACGGTAGCAGCAGCAGCAGTACCTGCAGCAGCATCCGCGGCGGCTGCAGTGTCAGTGTCAGCACCGGCCTCAGGCACAAACACCTGGCTGCGCAGTGCGGCAGGACAGAAGCTCCCCACGCGCGCCCCTCCCAGCAGCTGCTCCAAGTCCCTTGCGGCCTGCACCGCTGCTGCCTGCGGCCCTGCTGCCGCATGCGCCCCAGCTGCCCCCTGCGGCGCCCGCAGCACCAGAGTGACCGTCTGCACCAGCCGCACCCCCCGCCGACCCGCACGCGTGGAGGCGCGCTCCACCAGCAGGCCCAGCGACACGTAGTCTGGGGAGGGAGGATGGTTGGGGAAAGGCAGAGAGTTTCGGGGGGCGGTGGGTGTGTAGCTAGCGCGTCCGGCTTGGGTTGTGGTGTTACTAGGGGCACGCGCGCCACCGGCGGCGGCGCCATAGCAGCCTGCCCCATGCAGAGCTCCCCCGCACAGTTGCCTCGTCAGTTACTCCTTATATTTACCCCACCCCATCCCCACAGCCGCTTGCCGCCCCACCTGCTCCGAACACGGTGGGTCGGTGCCTCAGCAGCGCGGCTAGCCCCGCCTGGTCGCGACAGGGCAGCAGCCGCAGCCAGGGGGTCAGGTTCTCGGTGCACAGCGCCTCGCGGGGCAGCAGCGCGCGTAGACGCCGGCTGTGGGGGCAGGGCCGGGCAGGCGGGCAGGAGGGGGGAGAGCGGGTGTGAAGGAAAAGAGCATGAAGGGATGAAGGGCGCGCGGGGCGGGGATGGTTGTGCTGTACAGCGTACAACGGAGGTGAAGGGCGGGCTGCCGAGCATGTATGGTGGCAGGCTCCGTGGGAAGTGGCGGTTGATACGCATGAGGTCCTCGCCTCCAGGTGCAGCACACCGGGGTATCCTCCATCTCCCCACCTGGCGCCGGCGCTGGCGCTGGCGTTACTGCTGTGAGCGGCGCCAACCGCCCCAGCAGTCCCGCCAGCCCCAGCCCCAGCCTCCGCCGCCTGCCCGCCCTGCTGCCCGCCCCCCCGCTGCAGCAGCTCCGCCAGCCGCATGTGTCCGCCCGCCAGCACGCGTTCCGGCTGCCGCAGCAGCCCCAGTGAGGCGCAGGAGAGGCCCGACAGCGCCTGCACCAGCGCCGACCAGTGGGCCTCCAGCTGCCGGGGGGGCAGCCCACCCAGGAAGGAGGCGTCCAGCACCTGGGTGCGGGGGCCGACACAGCGTGTGAGGACAGAACTGAGGCGGTGGTGTGGCACGTGCAGTACTCTCGTCGGACGGGCGGACCGGGATAGGAGGGTACGGCAGGTTGTGGGGTATGAGGTACGGGCGTCTGGCTGCTTGCCCACCCGCCCAGCTGGCAACCCACCGCGCCAACGGGCTTGGCGGGTACCAGCGGCCAGCCCCATTCCGCGTAGCGCTGCGGGAGGGTGGGGTGTCGGAAGGATTGGGCGGGGAGAAAGGGTGGGAACTGGGTAGTGGTGTGACTTAGCAAGTACTGCTGTGCAGCTTAATAGTCACAGGGTAAGCTGGGAAAGGTAGCATGCCGTGATGTTGCGTTTCTGCTCTGCATGTTGCACTGCTGCGATGCAAGGTCCACACCGACACTGCAGCATGTAAGCCGCTGCTAAGCTCACCCATCGACCGGATGTGAGCGATAGCTCCACGTGTTCAAGAGGTAGGGTGGTGGCTAGGTGCTGGATTGCGTGGGGGAAGCTGGTGTGCAGGCGAGAGGCTGTCGTTGCCTGGTCGAACCGCAAGTGCACCTGCAAGTGCAGAAATACGAGAGGTGTTGCGCTGCTGGGAGACGCCGGCGATCTCATGTCGCAGGGTTTGGGGATGGCTTCACGATAGCTATTGCACATCGACACATCCATCAAGGGTGGGAGCCTACCATAAGGTGCTGCGGCGTGAGCCATGTAGACAACCCCTCCTCAGAGAAGACATCCTACGGGCAGGCTGCACTACTTGGGTGATCTGGGTCTTGATAGGTAGTAAGCGCATCTTAAGTTACCTGTGCGGCGCAGCCTGCTACTAATCTAAGCAAGACGCTGACGACTAGCGTACGAGTCTTGCTCCTGTTCCAAAGCATGTTCTGCAATCACCTCAGCGCAGATCTTCTCATTCTTCTGTCCTGATTGTAGCTAGTTACAGCGTCGCGCAGGAGTGGAAAGTGCAGCAGGCTATGATGCATTGATGCAACCGTTGAAGCCCGTTGGATACGAAAGACGTCACTACTAGTACTCTGTCCTTTTGCACTATCTCATTCATTACTATACAGAAATTATACAGAGAACGTTTGCAAGGTCGGACAGCACACCGGCACCGTCGCTTGGGCGGGCCAAGCACCATGACGAAGTTTGCCCTTAATTGAAGAGCAGCGCTATGGACGATGAGCAACTTCTGAAACAAGTCGATAGTTGGTTGGAGAAGAGTGCCATGTTCGCGTAAGTTCGCCCCGCGCTTTTGAGCCGCCTTCTTTTACCAATCTGACACCGCTATGTCTCTTTTTACTACTGGACACCAACCACGGGTTTTCCGGGATTCCCTGTACAGCGTTGGTGTGGCAACTTGTTGCCTTCCGACCTGTATTGCACCAGGGTACTGGACGCGGAGATCTTCTTGCGGCTTCCTGTGTAGCACGCTCTTGCGTACGTATGTCCTATGCCTGACAAGTTCGTGTTGATGCTGAGTTGTCACGTGTCTTGCAATGCTGACTACAGGCCCTAACCGTACCAGCTGTCTTGCCTGTGTTTTCCATGGCCGCCGTCCGCTGCGGCAACGCCTGACGTGTGCTCTTTCTTGCACCGTGTACTCCGACAGGCAAGATAGCATCCCCGCGGAGCTGCCACGCATGGCGAAGCCGTCCCAGGCATCGGTGCTGGCCTCGGTTCGCTGCTTGGCAGCGTTGCCAGCATGCAGCCCTGACACTGGCCCCACTGAAGGACGGTACGTCGTTGTTGGGGACCCGTGGGTATCACCCTTACTCCCTTCCTCTATGCGCGACTCCCTTGGTCCTTCCCTCTCTTAACAGGTTGTCGTTCCTTGTTTGTTGCAGGACCGTCGGCAATGTGCCAATTGTACAGCTGAGCAGCAAGGACCTGGATCACCATGCTAAGCCGACTCACTACCAGGCGTTCCTCCACCGCAAGGTATGGTTCGGAAGTTGTGACTGCCCAAACGAAGGCCTTGTACGGAAGGCAGGTGCTGTGTCCCTTGAGGTGACCTCTTTCAGCGGTACCCCAATGCTCGGTGCCTTTTAACCCCGCCATAAAAAGCTTTGCTACCAGTATGCTGACTTCGGGTACCGTACCGCCCCCCGCTGTAGGTGGCATCCGCCATGGCCGATGTCCAAAAGCGTCTGCGCCTGCTTGAAGGCAGGCCCGCGGCCTCACGCCTGAGGGACACAGCAGCCAGGACAGCGCCCACATCACCTGCAGGCGACCCGTTCGCGCTACTGCAGCCATCTCCTGCTTGGACCCACTCCGGGGCAGCAGCGGCCGCCGCCGTTACCGCTCCCGTTGGCTCCCCGGGCAGCAGCGCTCCAGCTGCTTGTGCGGCACATCGCCACAAGAGGTCGGCTAGTGAGGCCGGCATCTTTACCGCCGCCGCCCAGCTGCCTCCGGCCCTCCGGCCGCCCTCCAGCGTGCGGCCTACCACGCCCGACATGTCCGACGACTGTACGACGCCCACGGCCCCTGCGCCGCAGCCCAGCCGGGACTGGGGCGCCACCGGGGGGGAGGTCTCTGTGGAGCAGCGGCGATCCATGTCCGGCAGCGCTGCGCCTGGCGAGGCTGCAGCCGCGGTGACCTCCCTCTGCTCCGGGCATCGGCCTCATGGACAAGCACCTCCTCCGCCGCCACTGCCGCAGCGGCAAGAGCGGCAACACAGGCAGCAGCAGCATTCGGGACGCTGTGCAGGGCAGCAACTTCCCCATCCCCAGCAGCAGCACGCGCTGAGACCCGCGGGCGCGGCATCGGCGCCAGCGCATGCTGCAGGCGGCCAGGCGACGCAGCTGCCCCGCGGGAACGCGGCGCCTCCCGGTCCCAGTCCAGGAGCCATGGCACCAGTGCCGTCCGTAGCACAGGCGGCCGGTGCCTTTGCAGGGCAGGCCGGCAGGACCCAGGCTGCAGCTCAGCAGGCATCAGCCGCGTCGGGCCAACAGCCGCAGCGGCACCCGGTCCCAGTGTACGGCGGAACGTTGCATCCTCCGCCGCCGCGCCACCGGCCGACGGCAGCTCTGCAGCCCCCCGTTAGGCCACCTCAGCAGGCCCCACAGCCGCCGCAGCAAGTTACAGGACCTGGAAGCATGCAGGCAACTCCACGCCAGGAGGAGGGTGCGCTTGCACGCTGCCAACCGCCCTTGCTCTGTGACTTGCCGGCTCCGTCGTTAACCCTGCAGCAGCTGGTAGCACGTGGAACTTACCACCAGGGCGGCACTGCTGCGCGTGAGGGTGCCCGCAAGCAGCCCCAGCCCCCGCCTCAGTCCCAGCAGTTGGAGCTCCAGCACCCTAGGATGCAACCGAGAGGACAGCGGCCAGAGGAGCAGCATGGCACTAATAATCCGCACCGCAACCTCACGGATGCGTTGGAGGCTCCATCAAACGCCCGCTTGCGAGGAGCGCTTGAGGCCACCGCTGCAGCCGCAGCCGCATGCTACCACCGGCAGCTGGCAGCCCTACCCGCTATGGACCAAGTGCTGCGTAGCTGGCCGCTGGCATCCCTCTCCCAATCCTTTTGTCGTGGGGGCTCCTCCGGTGTCAGTTCACTAGCTGGCAGCGGTGCCGGCGCTGCGCTCCCGCACAGCCCCACGGCCGCTGACCAGCCTCCGCAGCTGGAGAAGCGGCCGCTGATGCGGTACGTCCAGACGGCGCTGCCCAGGCGTACGGCAGCTGCGGAGCTGGACCTGCAGGCGCTGCAGCGGCAGCGGGGTGGTGCCGTACACCTGCCGTTGGCTGCCTCAGCGGCGGCGCTGCCTGCTGACACCTGCCAGTCGCGGCAGGACCTGTGGGAGCTCTTTCTCTTCCACCTCAGCCAGCTGGAGGCAACGGGGCCAGGGCCGTCTCCGCAGGCAGTGCAAGCGGCGTTTAGTGAGAACGATGAGCGGGATGCGGTGGAGGGGTGGAAGGTCGGCAGTGGCGCCAACGCAGGTGCTGTTGGCCAGGCTGGCGCGTGCACATGCAGCTGCCATACTGGAGGGACACAGGGTGGGGAGCTTGCAGACGTCGCAATCGACAGCAGCAACGACGACTCTGATGTGTACATCACGGATGAGGGGCTCGTGTGCCTGTCCTCCTTAGCTGTCGCACCGTACGGTAACAGCGGCTGGCAGCTGCCGTTCCTGGTTAGGCAACGACAGCTGTTGGGCGAGGGATGTGCAGAGGAGCCGGAGCTCACCCCCAGTTCCGCAGCAGCTGGTTCTGGGACCAACCCGCCGTGCCCCAGCTGCAGCCCCCTTTGTGCACGCGCACGAGCACAACAACCTCCGCTGCACACCCTGTACTTTGCGGAACCGCTCCGGGACGCCTCCGGCATGCTGTTTGACGCCTGGGCGCGCACATGCACGAAAGCGCTGGTGGCTGCCGCCAGCGGCTCAGGAGGTACCGGTGAGCAGGCCCATGGGGTGCAGCAGGCTGGCGCGTCTGAGGCGGAGGACTGCCCATGCTGCCAGCAGGACGAGTGGGCGCTCGGGGGGCTGTCGCTGCTGGTCCTTAGCCACTGCCACGTCGGCTTGGCAGGTGCGGGTGCACAGGGGCACTCGGCTGTACAGCCGTTGCAGCTACTGCCGCTTGCAGCGGCGCCGGCGGCAGGGAACAAGGAGGCGCAGGGCCGAAACACGCAAGCTGCTGCTGCTGCTGCCGTAGCGGCGGCGTTGCGGTCTCCGGGGCTAGCCTGCGGGGCACAGCTGCTGTCAAGCTGCGCCTCTACGATGGTGAGTTTTGGGTATTCTGGGATGTACGGCAGCACAGCGCATGAATGGAACTGCCTGGTGCCCCGGTACGAGGCGGAGGCAAGCTGTGTATGCAGCAAGCGGCCCATTAGTAAGGGGCACAGCACCTTTGCTTCAAAACCTTGGCTTGCATATACTCCGCTAATGCTAACCTGCTGACGGCATCGTGGGCTCCCTTGCCACACCTTTTCTGCCCTGCCTTGCAGGTGGCAGTCATCGACCCCATGGATGGACGTGTGCTGGCTCAGCAGCGCGCGGACAACGGAGCGCTGGCACAACTGTTGGTGGAAGGGAGCGGTGACGAGCAGGTAGGGCCAAACCTCAACAATAATCCGGTATGTTTTCAGCACAGCATTGCATGCATGACAACACACCAGTGCCTGCAATGGTACACTTAGCAACCTTGCTGCAGCCCCGTGCACTGACGCGCCAGCCTTTCTCACGGTTGTGTCCCATGGGTCCTGCGGTGCAGCTGCAGCGGCACTGGCGACTGGTGCTGGACCTCTTCTCCAAGCTGCGTCGGCTGTCGCCCGGACCCTACATGCTGACGATGGACGCGACCAATCAAGTCCTGGAGCTGCGAGGAGTGCGCGCAAACAGCAATGTACACGTTGTGTAGATCCGTGTACTTGGGTCACGCATGCATTGTGGCTGCATAGCTTAAGCTGCAATGTGTAAGCTGCACAAAATCTTCATGCTGTTGACATTGTTAACAAGGGAAGTGTTTGGACGGCGTGATCAGATTCGTTGGTGTGGCTTGTATGCCGGCATATTGTAATGTCATTTGTTCACTTGTTGGCGCGGCATGCGTGAGCGACACTCCTTGTGCTTCCATGAGTACAATAGTACTAGCGCTCGGCGTGCGTTAGCGTCTTACTCATGCGGGAACAGTTTACTTGTTGTTCATTTATACTCTGTAAACTACTGGTTTGCTGGTTTGCTCGTGTGTGGTTTCAGCCGTGAAGATTGTTAGCAACGCACGAAACCCCAACCCAATTACAGCAATAGTATCTTCAAAAGTGCGATTAACTGCAATCTATAGTTGTACAGGCCCTTTGGCAAGGCGGAGGGTCACGGACAAGCGACCCAACGGATATGCACACGCGCAACGAACACAAAACGAGTGGAAGCCTTAGGTGGCAATGCTGGCATTGACCTAGGACGAGTTAGTAAATTTTGGCTTTTGGGTGTCTGTTAGCCCGTGTTTATGGGGCAACAGACCATATGAAACACACACCGTAAATCCCCCTCTTTATAATCCTCAAAACCCGCATGTGAACCACACGCCCGCAACCTGCAACACCAGCGAACGTCGTTCGGTCATACCTGCGAGGTCCATTTCCACGTCCCTTCAAGAACATACCCACCACACACTATTATGCCACTCGCACGGAGGCATCTGACCAAAGCGGGTGCTTACGCAAGTATTGAAATCAGGCCTGCTACACGCACGCCAAAGTAATAAACCAATGCGTGTGGCATATACGTAGGATGGATCCTGACACGAAGGTGCCATCGCAGCAAAGACACACGATTCCATATCTTAACCACCAAATGCTAAACTTGCGTCCTAAAGCAAATCTAAACGGAAACACCAATTAGCCACAAGCATGCAGCCGCAGCCGCCCTGTCGTGTAACGAGCGGTCGCTATGAACACGCCAGTCAGCCCCTGAGTTGGGAAGGAAATGTAAGGTCATGACGCGCCGCATGCACAACCTCTCTCGCTGACTTTCCTACTAAAGGGACCGCCCCAAAACCGTTACTCGCGCGCAGCGACGCAATACATGCTCGGTAACTACCAATGTGCAAGAGGGTCTCTGCTTCCCTGGGGGCCGCCACCCCTTCGCTGCTGTCGCCTTTACGACAGCCTCGCCTGGGCCGCCTTCTCCCCTGCGGCCGTCTTGTCCTCGGCCTTCGCGGCGTTGGCCTTCTTCTCCTGCAACGAAATCATGGCAACACGGGGGCATATTCAGAAAGGGAGTAGTGCGGAGCTATCAAGCATTGCACGCATTACCCCTGCAAATGCCCCAACCATAACCACTGAACCCATCATAACAAGGAAGGAAGGAGCCCAATATGTGTTTGCCAAACGCAGTGCAGAGTCACCACCGGTCTCAAGCCCTAGAGCACCCTAATCGCGTGCCCCGTGGCCTACCGCCTGGCGCCGCTGGTTCTCGCGCTTGAAGTCCTCCGACGACTTGTACTCCGTCTCCAGGAGCGCCTTCAACTGCAACAGGAAAGGGAAAGAGCGAATACCAATACCGGTAGCATTAGATGTTACATAGAATAGTGGGGTTCCCAACACTGAGTTAGGCTGGGCAACCAGCAGTTGCGAAAAGCAATCGGCGATCCACAGGGATCATGGTCAAGTTGCCCACATTCCGATCTCCCGCGCTCAGCCCATCTCCCATCTTCTTACCCTGGAGTGGATCTCCAAGTTGCTGTCCTTGGGGAAGCCGGCGTAGTAGTGGAACGCCCAGAACTTCTCCAGGCCGTACAGGCTGTCGTACGTGTCAAATTCCTTGAGCGTCATCTCCTCAAACTCCTTGTACAGATCCGCCCGGAACGTCTTCTCCAGGCCGTAGCTGTAGAAGCGGAAGAGGCACTCCATGCCGTAGTGGTAGCGCGCCGCTGCGTCCTCCTCCGCGTACTTGCGGAAGTCAATGTACATCTTCTCATTGAAGTTGTCGCGCAGGAAGTAGCACCAGAAGCGGAACAGGGTGTTCATCTCCTCGCTCTGACCAACGCCTGTGGAATGTCGGCGCGTGAACGGCAAGGATGCAGAGCTGCTTAGTGGAGAGCACAGGCCATGGTGGTCGCATAATACAGCGGGTATTGTCATGGGCTCGTAAGGGGGTAATGACGGGGTATTGTACAGTTAACTGGAACAATACCCCGTTTCTAAATTTCTGAAGATTGCTAGAAGGCAAAAGCCGCCCACAAGCTGTTTTGTCCATACCTCAAAAGCGACAAGCATTGCGCTCGCACCCTCACCCGCCCCCGGCTTTACGTCGGCTTACCCTTGACGGAGCGGTCCTCAATGCAGCGCTTGAACCACTTCATGTACTTGATCTGCTTGAAGCCGTTCTCCTCCAGCAGCGCGTACGAAGGGTGCTGGAACTTGGGGATGGGCACACTGCCGCTGGCGCCGCCCCGGCCGCTGGGCGAGGAGCCCAGCATGCCGCCGTGCCGCTTGTACGAGCCGCCAAAGCTCGAGGCCATGGACCCGCTGGGGCTGCTGCCGTACAGGCCGTTGCCATCGGGAGGCGTTGCGCCCATGAGCCAACCCACGGCGCCGCCATTCGGTGGCGAGGTACCCGACAGGGAGTCGCCCAGGCGCTTGTGTGCGCCGCGGCTGTAGCTGTGTCCGCCCATGCCGGAGCTCTTGGGCAGCGAGGAGCCGTAGAAGTGCATGCCCTGGATCGGAGGTGCTTGCCGGCTGCTGGCGCCGGCGTGGGGGCCCTTGGGCGGCTTCGAGGAATGGTGGCGGGAGGAGGACTTGTGCACCTGCTGCGGAGTGCAAGGGAGGGAGGAACGGAACAGGGAGGAGCGCATGTAAGTTGCCAGCGTACCGAACTCGGAACTTACCGGTATAAAAAGCTGCCTCCCCACTTTGCCATGATCACAGCAGGAATTGCGTATCTAACCCTAGTTGTTGCGGGAGTGTCGTTGCCACCAACGCAATCCCTCTTTTCGCATGCATCCAATAAGCCATCCCACGCGCATGCGATCCTACACCTACCTCCGCAAGCTCCTGCTCGTACATGGCCAACCCGTCTGCAATCAGGCGGCTGGAGGTGTTGTCAAGCTTGCCGCTCCCGGGCGGCCCAATCTTCCGCGAAGGTGTCACGACAATAAGCTTTTCCAAGACGTCGCGATCGCTCATGGCGTTCACAACGTCCTCCTGCTCATCGCGCTGAGCAGCAGCGTCCTCATCCTAAAGTATTGAAGGTTGGGTGGCGCAAGCGATACGGTCAACATGTAGCACGTGAGCAGGTCACTCAACCGTGAGACATCGCAATCCGCCGCGGACCTTTGTTTTCCGATTAGCAAGGCATGTAGGAGGCGCATGTACGAGGCACCAGTACTAAAGCCGCTGTCTCACCTCATCCATGGCGAACAAGTCCTCATCCTCGTCGTCAGCATCCGCCTTGGCCTGCTTTGCAGGCGCGGCCTTAGGGGCCGAGGCGGCGGCACGCGGCGTCGTGAAGGCAACCGGGGCCGCGGCAGCCTGCTTCGGCGGCGGTGTCATCACAGCCTTTGGCACCGAGCCGCCGCCCGCAGCCGCTGCCAGTGGTGAAATTGACGCCTCAGCCGCCACCGGAGCCGCCACAGCAGCAGCAGCAGCCACTGGCTGCTCAGCCACCACTGGTTGCTCTCCAGCCGCCGCTGGCTTCACGTCTCCGCCTTTGGGGGCCTTGGCAGCTGCGGCAGGGCTGGCAGAGCCCGCCTGCGAAGCGCTCTTGTTGGACGCGGGGCTGTTGGCATCTGTGGCCGGAGCGGCCGGGGCAGCTGGCGCCGCCTTGATGGCGGCAGGGTTGTGCGACAGGTCTCGCTGCTGAGGCGGAAGTATCCAGCGGTCCCAGTTCTCCCGTGCACGCAGCATGGTGCTGTCGCTGGACACCTCCACGATGGGCGAGTCAGCGATCGCGTCGACAATAAGCGTCCAGTCGAGGGTGAGGATGCGTACGCGGTTGAAGTTGGCCACCACGGCCAGGGGAATCCAACCGTTGTCGTCCATCTTTGAGCGCAGGAAAATATCCTTGCACAGGTTCTCGACACTGAAGTAGTAGTCAATCTGCTTGCGAACTGCTTCGGTAACCATCTGCTTGGTCTGCGCCTTATCGGTGTTTCCACTGCCGTTGAACGGCGCGGCGGGGAAGAACATACCGCCGGCGTAGTAGCCGGGGTAGTTGAACTGCGCTTGCTGTGCAGTGGGTGGCGCAGGTGCTGAGATGTAGGGACCCATGGTGTTGGTGTTCGTCTGCGCTGCTGGGGCCTGTGCGCTGCTCGAGCTGCTGCTGCTGTTGAACGGTGCAGGCGCACTGGAGCCACGGCCACCGCTGCTTCCACGACCGCGTCCGCGACCCCGACCGCCCTCCCCGCGACCGCCCTCGCCACGGCTGCCCTCCCCACGGCCTCCTTCGCCGCGAGCACCATCGCCGCGGCCGCCCTCCGCGCTGCGGCCACCGTCACCGCGGCCGCCTGCTCTCCCCTCGCCCCTCGAGCTGCTGCCCTCAGCTGCGGCCGAGGTAGTGGCCAGCTCCGACTTCCGCGTCCAGGACGGCGCGGCATCTGCCTGACCCTCCGATGCAAAGTTGTTGCGTCGGCCCTCACGGTTGCCCGAAGCGTTGCCGCCACTGCCGCGGCCTCCACTGCCACCACCGCGCCCGGAAGAACCCGCACCCCTTCCGCTACCGCCACTGGTAGGGTGGCCAGAGCTGCTGGTGCTTACTGCATGCCCCTTCTCCGTTTTAGTGTTGGCCTCCTCACCACCCTCAGCCGGGCGCCCGCTGTTGCTCAGGCTCTCCTGCAGCGCTGACACAGGCATCTTCATGGGCTTGCCCTTGCCCTTACCGGCATTCACGTTGCCAACCGGCTCCTTCTCTTTCGGTGCGGTCTCCTGCGAAACGAGAGCAATCGGTACGTTGTTGACACAGTAGCACACGACACAGTAGCACACAAACAGGTCGGCGCCTACGGTACGGACATGTGCATGCCTTCCTAGCAAGGGTGTTGTTCAAGGGCGCGTTGATGAACCCTTCAGTGAACCCCCTCACCGTGGCTGCAGGGGCACTGCCGCCGCTGCTGGCTGGCTGCCCGTCCTGGCGATCCCTCTTCTTCACTGGCTGTTTGGAGTCGCCCAACGTTGGCCAATCAGACTGGGCCACATCGCTTAGCGGCGCAACTTGTTGCTCCGGGGCAGGCTGCACGGCGGGAGGGACGCGTGTGACAGTGGGAGAACAGCAAAAACTCAGAAATTGTTACAGCAATGAAAAGAGAAACCACATAACACAACCTTGTTGCTATTAAAGCTGACAAGCAAGCTCCAGCCGGAACGATCGGCCCACCTTCTTCCATGCGGGCTTGCTAGCAGGCTTGCTCGAGGCATCCTGCACATCAAAACGGTAAGTGTTATTTGGACGATACTCAGTCGGGTTTCTGGGGACTTCCGGCACTGTCATAACAGCACTATCGACACATGCAGACCTAATTGTGTCGCCACCGGTTCGTCACGAACACTCCCGACAAAACTTGCCTTTGGCTTGTCATCAATATTTGCGCTCGAGCTTCGCTCTGGTCCCTCCTCTGTGGCCGCCACCTTGCCCGTCTGCTCGGGCTGCGTGGCAGGCTTGGTTACGCCAGCTGGAGCAGGAGCCTCAGCCTGGGGCTCCTTCGCAGGCGCTACTGCTACGTCTTCTGTTTGAGGGGCTTTGGGCTCGGATTTCTTCTCGTCATTGCTGCTTGCGCGAGGCGGCGCCGGCTGAACGCTCTCCTGGATGATAGCCTCCTCCTTAGCCTCTACAGTTCCTGTCTTGGGCTTGGGCTCCTGCTTCAAAACTTGTGCCCAGCCGCTCTTCTTTGCCACGACGCCCTCATCCTGCGCGACCGGACCCATATCGTTTTCGCTTTGCTTGCCAGACCGCTAAAGCGTAGAACCTATCGTTCACAAAGCGTGGTAGTCTATAAGACAGTGTTAGCACCTTGCTGGATTGGGACGCCGAGGGCGCCGCTGCTGCGGCCACCGTCTCCTTGCCCACGGCTGACATACCGCACTCCCAGGCAAACCTGGCTTGGCGGAACTTGGGGCTTAACTAAAAACTACTGTTTCAGAGACACATCCTCTAGTTGGCTAGGTACAATAGGCTTTGTCGCAACTAACAAGTATGCGCTGCGTCAGCACAGCGCTGCTAGGGCGTTCCTTCTATAAGCAGGTGGTCACTTTGCCCAATACCAAGCTCGATTTTGCCCATACTGGTAGTGATGACATGCGCATCTCGCTGTACAACCCCGTACGGCGTCTGGACAGTTTAAGCTAATGATGACAGCTCTGTCTTCGGACCGCTTTTACAATGTTGGCAGGCCATTCCATTGATGTCCAGCGTTAGCGGGTATGCATATTCTTCATGACCTCAGGGTGAAGTGAAGGAAATAAGCCAACTAGCAAAATTCATGCAATTTTACTTCGCATAAACAGCCATACCTTTGTCACGCTGTTATCCATCCCTGTGCCATTGCGTAATTTACCCTGCCAAGGCGGTTAGGGGCTAGGCTTATAAGCGTTGCTCGCGCGTGATGTCCCGGACTATCGGCCACTTGCCTTGCTGCTTTAGTTCTAGCGGAAACTGCTGCTAGGATGGTCCAGGTGCGTAATGTTTACTCTTATCGGCAAGTGCTGAACGTCTATTTGTAAAGCCTTCACAGCAAGGACCTTTCCTTTGCAGGTGTACAGGGAGCCGCTCTGCAGACGCTATTATGGTTCACTTTTGGGCGAAGCAGCTTTATTTCGGGCCGGTGCATACCTGGCAGCAATCGTGCTGGCCCTCGTAGTTGCGTACGCCACAGGGGGTTTCTGGGTCAGGATCAAACCTACAAACGTGCAAGCAACTGTACACTACACCAACGACGCCCTTCTGGTGTTCGAGGTGCGACTAGTCAGGCCTCCAACAGCATCATTCGCCGAAACTCAACCCCGGCTATCAATGGCAGGGCCTTCAAAGCGGCCAGACCCTGGTCTGGAGCACGTCCCAGGCAATAAATGCCGAGTTCTCGGCACACTATGTTCCCGCCATTGTGGAGGTGCGTGCCTATTAGTAAAGCGCGATGGCATATTCCTTACGTGCTGTTCTTTGCCGTACCTTGTGACAGGGGATGTTGTACAATGCCGAGATACGGGAACCCGATTCGTACTTGGCATGCAGGTCTCGGAGGAGGATATTAACGATGATGGCAAGCCAGATTTCATTAACTTTAGAGCCTCCATTGGGGCGGGCTTTCCCATACACAGCGTTAAGGCGCTGCTGCAGTTTCACTACTCGCTGTCGGTAAGTGCGCTTTTAGCATGGCACATTTGAGGCTAGTACGGCGTCCGGGGTCCGGGGGACGCACAGGGTGCAGCCCCACGACGTTCTTCGCCTACACGCCTAAGGGGTTTCAGGTTCGCTTTTCAAACGGCTTTTTAATCGACTAATTACCAAAGAGAAGAGGTGCATAGCTAATTAGCATGGTTGCATTAGCATCCGTTACTCGCCAGGGGGTGCCCGCCCAGCAGATATTCTGCATGACTTGACCGCAAGCGCACGGCCCCTGCGTAGGTGAGGGTCTACAGCCATGTGATAATTACCCTCCCTAAATTATCGATCTATACCGCCTTTCCCGTCCCTCACCCACCACAGGGCAATATCAAGCTCGACATGTACAGCCTGGGCTACCTTGCGCACAGCTCACCGGTCCAGGGCTCCGTGCTGTTCGCCGACGGGGAGGTGAGTTGCGACCGCCTGTGTGCAGTGCCTGCCGTACCGTGTCAGCTCCAAGACCACATTGTCATGCGCTTGGAGGGTTGACGGATCGCCCATGCGGTTACTGACGGCTGTTGCCCTCGCCGTACCACGCAGTTGGTGCTCCAAGCGAAGAACCAAATTCGTGACCGGCAGTACAACGCCATTTACAACGTGCCAATGTTGAATTCAACCACCCCGAGCGTGCAAGTGGCGGTGCAGGTGGGTGCGGACACCTGGCCGCCTTCATCAAGCAGTCCTGTTGTTTCGATCGCCGGTAGCTCGAGTACAATAGGGCTTAGGACGGATAGCCTGCACGTGTTAAGAAAACTGGCCGCGAGCACGTACTGCACGTGTACGTGTGGTACTGCACGTGTATACCGGTACCTGTCTTCACTCCGAAGTCCTAACTATTCGACTATTCCAACGCTCCCTTCCGTCCTTTTGCAGCCAACTATCGAGTTCGAGCTACAGAGCATACTGAAAGCATACCTCGACCGTAACTACACAACCTTGTACACCAACCAATACCCAGTTTGGATGGTAAGTTCCATGGGACCGTACCATGGCCCACTGGTGCAAATCAATGCGTAACGCTTACATTGTGCTGTTAAACTGCACATGGTCCGTATTACCCTTTGCCACAGGGAGGGTCGCGCAACGGCTTCGAGCTGGACATGCGAATACGGATCCCGCCCAACCAGATAGTGCACTACAGGTAAGCAAGGGCTGGAATGGCACTACCTAGGTCCTTCCATTGCTGTGTTTGTCACGTTGCCAATTGTCCGCTGACATTTGCCCACCGCTGATGCTGTATGCAGGCCGCAAGTGATTGAGATGTTGAAGGGTGGATGGATTCAGTGGTTGGCTACCTTCATAGTTCTCTGGTACCTCCTCCAGTGGGCGGAGTGGTTTGTCTTCGTATTCCGGCTTGTCGAAACGCGCGTTGTCTTGGATACTCAACCTAAGCGGCAACGCTTCTGAAGCTTTTGCTTGCCCTTCGCCAGGCGCGAAGACGTCTAGACGGCGCATGCATGCCTCTCGGTGGCCTGCCTGCCAGAAGGCTTCGGGTTTAGTTACATGGCAACCATGGCATCTGGTAGAGTGACGGCCGCGCAATACAGTTACTCGACAGTTCCTGTAACCGAAGTCGAGGGTCATAGTTAAGTACCCAACTAACACGGCAACGTGTTCACACAACACCCACGACGACTAACCAACAGCTGCAGGTACATTCACTGTACAGACAGAGGTCCACCATGTTCAACAGTTGCAGTGCTGCGCACGGCGCGCCTTCTGCTGGTCTTGTCTCGCAGGAGTATGACTTCCAAGCCCATATTGCCTCAGTCCAACATGCACAAGCAATGTAAATCCTCAGATCTCTTCGGGCACCTGCATACAGTCCACGCAACCCAAACAGGTCAGGTTCATCTCTGGGCATTTGGAAAGCAGCTTCACAACTTCGCGTGACGTACCACGGGCACGACTCGCGCAAGGGCCTCCGCTTTCTCAGCGTCGGTGTAGGACACGGCGTCAAAGTTCAGCTCGGCCGTGCAGCCAAGCAGATGCAACACCACACAGTCATAGGCACGCGCCGCTTCCACCTCGTTGTCAAAGCTGCCAAGGTAGAAGCTCTTGTCACCCTGCATGACGCATCAGAGCACATCAAGGGACATGATCGTCACTAAGGCTTCGTGAAACACAGGGGCAGCATAACGATGAAGCCCACACGCAGCGTGCGCCCCGCCAGAGCAACTCCGCTGGCTTACCTGGCGCAGTCGGCTCTCCCATTTACCGGAAGCCGTGTTGTACGAAACGCCCATGTGGGAACTGCTAGGCAGTGACCCGCGTGCGACGTCTTCATATGCAATGCCATTGTATTCAGAAGCGGCGAAGTTCGTCTTGGCGTCCAGACCCTTCAGCTCTAGCAATGCGCGATCGTAGGCTCGGGCCGCCTCCAGCTCGGTACCGAAATGGCCCAGGAAGCGCTGCCGGATGCCGTCCCAGAGCAATGCGCGCCATTTCTTTACCTGAGGCATGGGGCATTTGGCTCATGTAAGTGTGCCGGTGTGAGGAAACGTGCATGCACAAAAATGCTGCATGGAAAACGAGCAACTGCGTAGGTAACGCTGTATAGACCTCGTGCGCAGGCATGAAGTACAAGCAGAAACGCGCAGCTGCGCACCTTGTCACACCAGCTGACTCCACGGTACTGACTGCGCCCCCGGCCCGTAGGCTGGCCCAGCTGTTGGCCAAGACCCACGTTCGCTGCGGCCGGGGGCGCGTCACACCCCCCCTGCTCCTGCTCCGCGTCATCGTCGTACGCGCACTCCGTTGCGGGCTGCCGTGGGTCTTCAGGGTCACCTGGACACCCGCCGCCCTCGCAATAGCCAGCATCCTCCTCGGCGTCATCACCGTCGGTGTTCCCGGAGGTGTCGCCATCTGCCCGCCAGCGCTTGCTTGCGGGTGGCCCTCCACCCGAGCTTGGCATGGCGCCACCCCCCAAGGCCCCACTGGACCCCCCGCCGCCCGAGACGCCAAGGACGTCTAGCCCTTCCTCTTCCCGCTTGCGAACATCGCCAACTGCATGCTCGACACTGCTACGAGGCTGCAAAAACCGCGCTGTGGCGGGTCCTGAACCCTCTAGGTCCAACGGGGGTTGTTGCTGGCTTTGATTCGGCGCGCCTGCAAGGCCGCTCTGCGGGAGTGTAAGGGCCTGCCCTAGGAGCATTGCGTTGAGCTGGGCCTGCGTGAGGGCGCCGCCACCACCTGGCCCGAGCACAAAGCCGTGCGATGCCAGGTCGAGGACAGCCTTGGGAAGTACCGCAGCCGCCTGCAACTGCGAACCATGTACCGCGTGGGCTCCAGAAGTGCTGGTCCCCAAGCCCTGGAGCAGGCGTAATCCGCCTTCAGCGCTCCCTTGCAACTGAAGCCCCTTTCCCGTAACGGACAAGTCCCGGCCTGCAATCCCTTCAGCTGCGGCTGGATCCTGCTGGTTAGGCCGGTCCAGCGGTTGAGGCCCGTCTCCTGGAGCAGATGCGCCGCCCGTACCTTCAGCTGCACCGGACTGCCTGTCCAGCGCACTCGGCTGCCCTTCGAGTTGCAAACCCTGCTGCCCAGTGGCCTGCTGTTCCGAAGACACGGCCACGCCCGGATGCCCCGGAGGCAACAGCATCTGGTTTACGGGTTGCTGCTGCTGCTGTTTATTCGCCATCAGGACGCTGGCATGCCGCGCAAGCAACTCCAGGCTCAGCTGCTGCTGCTGGGGTTGCTTACCAGCAGCTCCTGCCGCCAGCTGCGGCAGCATGCCGAGGACGACGGCACCGCCGGGTACCCCAGGCAGCGGCACGACCAGGCCGCCTGCTGCGGCGGCAGCGGTCAACGCCGCAAGAGCACGCGCCTGTGGATCGCCTTCCGCACCGCCGGCACTCCCGCCAGCGGCCCCAACCGACACGGCTCCAGGAGCGCCGGCAGATGCGGCTCCCAGCTGAAGCTGCAGGTTGCCTTGCTTCAGAGCCGCTTGCAACACGGCCGTTAGCTGCTGCTGCGCAGCGCGGTTGGCGGTTGCCGCAGCGCTGGGATTGGTGCCCGTACTGGCGGTTGCTTGCTGCTGGGGCGCCGGCAAAGCAGCCGCGGCGTAGCCGTAGGCTGAATGGCTCCGCGACGGCATGACATCCTCCTCGCTGTCACTGTCGTCACCATCCCCACGAGCCCGCCTACAGTTAAAACGGGGATTGCGTACGCTACGGTCAGCTGTCTGTTGTGTAAAAGCCAGTCCCTTAGTAGCGATGCAGGTGCCCCCCTTCTGGCCCACCAGAGCAGCTCCATTGCGCAATTTCTATGCCCCTTTGCTACCATCACCTCTTCTCTGACTTACTTGCGACGCACGACCTTGCGTGCGCGTGGCTCCGGAGTAGAGCGCATCCCAACAGCCAAGCCCAAGAACCCCGGGTCGCCTTGCACTCCCAGCTCGTCAAGGTTGTAGTCCGAGAGCGGGAAGTTCATGCGGCTCCTGCTGCGCGCGTCCTGGCCCCGCAGCCGGAGGACTGCACGGTCGTACGCGCGTGCAGCCTCAACCTCCTCCGTAAAGGAGCCTGCAGCAGGGTCAGGGAGGCGTGCTTCAGGGCAATAAGAAAGCCAGCGCTTGGCATCCTAAGCCCGTTTTACGGCGAAGGCGCGCTGCAGATGTGGCTCGTCAGGCGAACACACGAATGGCATCATAGGGTGTTACCACGGACGGCATGTTCCATAGAGCGATAGGCTCTTGAAAGCCTGCCCTGCAGCGCCTTTTAGCCCGCATGCGTACTGCCAACAGGCATCCCGCCGTACCGATGAAATGCTGTTTGCCGCCTCCCCAGACGCGGACCTCCCAGCGCTGGCTGCGCTCGTGCCAGCTGACGCCGCGGTACTGGCTGGAGCCCTTGTTGCTGTTGTGGGTGCCCTCGGGCACGCCGTCAGCCCCAATCTCCGCCAGGTAGTCCGCAGCACCTGTAAGGGAAAGCGAATGGACACAGTAGGAAGGTCGACACGTTGCGGGCAGCTATGAAAGCGGGCAGCCCGTCCTTCACCATGGAACACATCCGTTCACCCGCAATACGAAAAGCATGTGAAGCACGGTTTTGAACCGTGTGCCCAAACACCGTTAATCGTCGTCCATGCCCAGCCGCGCAACTTACTCTCGCGGAAGTTGAGCCCCGCCTCCGGACCGAGCATGCGCAACGCCTCCTTGTCGTACGCACGTGCCGCGTCTTCTTCGCTCTCGTAGCTGCCGATGTGGCGGGCGCGCTTCAGCTCGCGGTCCCACAGCACCGCCACCCACTTGGAGCAGGCGCTGTTCCAAGACACACCCTTGTACTGGGAGGTCACCCGCGTGCCGGGAGCGCGAGGTCCGCGTGCCTTGGGGCCGGGGTGCGGGTTGGCAGCGGCCCTGAACGGGGCGGGTGAGGGTGAACGGCTAGCGTGAGAGCTCGGTGGCGAAAAGGATAGCAGCTAACATACGTGTGCAGTTCAAACGCACGCGCGACAATTGTACTATAAGCAACTATAGAAAAGGGGCAGGCTATCTAGGGTTAGCCCGTGCCTCACTTTGGAACGATGGGGAAGTTCAAGAGCTCTTTATTCCCGCTGCGCAGTACGGCTGCATCAAAGGCGCGCGCAGCCTCCTCCTGAGTAGCAAAGTGACCCAGGTGAGTAACGCCGCCGCCGGTCTCCACAATCTGCGCCCGCCACTGCTCCTGCTTCTCGTCCCACACCACGCCGCGGTACACACTTTCCCGCTTGCCATCCGGGCCAATGATGTCCGGTGCGGGCACCACAGGCATGGCAACGGTAGTAATCGCCGCCCCCCGGCCGCGGCCACGACCCCTGCCTCGCCCCGCGCCAGCCCCGTCAGCCCGACTGCTGGAGCTCCCGAGCACGAAGTCCTCGTCGTCGTCATCGCCCGCCCCCCCGGAACGCATCCTTCCCCGGCCTCTCCCGCGCCCTCTGCCTCTTCCCCTCCCTCGGCCCCGGCCGCGGCCCCGACCGTATGCAGCGGCCCCAAAAGCCGCAGGACGTGAACCCGCCCCATCGCCGTCGTCGTCCTCATCCTCCTCTTCATCGTAAGATCCTTCAGGGCCAACACCCGCTCCCATGCCGAGGCCCAACATGCCCTGCTGCTGCATGGCTGATAGGCCCATCTCCGCTGCCGCCGCGTCAGCTGCCGCGCCAAATCCAAACTGCGCCGCCGCTACTGCGTTAGAGGCAAGGGGAAAGTTGAGCTCCGCCTTGGGCCCAAACCGTCGCATCGCTTCAATGTCATACGCGTTCGCCGCCTCCACCTCAGTCTCAAACAATCCCAACCAGTGGGTGTCCTCGGCATCCGCAATAACAGCCGCCCACTTGCGCTGCTCTTTCTTGTACAGCACGCCACGATAGATGCTGCTGGGACTGGCACTGCCCTGAGATGGCAGCAGCGGCGTCGCGCTAGCATTAACCGGCCCAGACCCGCCCTGGCTCTGCGCAAGGGTGTTGCTGCGGCCAAGAGCCGTCGGGGAGGGCAGCAGGTGCGCACCCCCGCCAGCGCTGCCCGGCTCCCGTGGTGTGGGCAGCAGGAGAGCGGTGAAGCCACCACCCCCAGCCGGCGATATGGCAGAGAAAAGGGGCGACAGGCCGGCGCCGGTGGGGCTCAGCGCCGAGCCACCCAACAGCGGGTTGTTGCTAGCCAAGCGGTTCAAGTACTCGGTGATGTTCGGCGTCCGGTTGCCTGCGCCGCTGGGGCCGGTGCCGCCCTGGCTTTGGCCACCCTGGCCGGAACCGCTGCCCGGGGCCCCGCCATTGGAGGTCCCCGCTCCACCCTGACTGCCGCCACCAGCGCCGCCGCCCCCGCTGGTCTGCACTGCTGCGCCGCCAGTGCTACCGCCAGAAAGCAGCGAGTTGAGGTTGCCAGGCATGGGCTGGGCGGGCGAGAGCAGCTCATTGGCTACCAGCGCCTCCAACTCATTGGTGTACTCACCGACAACCGTGTACCGGGACCCGTCGAAAACGACCACTTGCCATGTGTTTTGCTCCTTGTCAAAATGCACTCCTTTGTACAACACGTGGCCATTATCTCCCACGCCCAATGCTGACGGCGACTGCAGGCCAATGCTCGCCAGCTGCTCCGGGGACATTTCGACAGCACTGCCGCCAGCATCGTCATCAGCCCCTGCGCCAGCGCGACCGCCGCCTGCAGCACCGCTCCCATGCCCGTTACCGCTGCTATGCGATACCCGCCGTGCGCTCGGCAGGCCTGCAAGGAAACCCTTGCTGAGCAAGGCGTCTGCTAGCGCTGCCTCATCCAACTCGCCATCTCCTAGCCCCATGCTGCTAGGGTCGTGCATCTCCAGCAACTGCCGCAGGGTGCCACCTCCGGACTTAGTGGAGTCGGGCCAGGCGCCGGCCGTACCAGGCGTCAACGCGTCCAACAACGCCGGAGTCTGCCCCCCGCGTGTGCTCTGCGCGAGCTGGGCAAACATGGCTGCAAGCTGTGCATTGGGCGAGGCAGACACTAGCGACTCCAGGAACGGAGAGTTGAGGATGCTGGGAAGCGGAGAGATCCCGGCGGCGTTGATGCCGGTAATGAGACTCGACTGCGATGGGATGGATCACACAGCAGCAGGTTAACTGCCGACACTCAAGCCCCAAAGATGTGGCACATGCGATGAGGCATAACTTTTCTTATGATGGCAAAACACAGCGCTAAGGCAAGGCCTTTACACTAAACGTTGTAACAGAAGCAAGTGAAACAGCCGTGTTGAACCTACCGGAACGTCCGCTGGGATGGTCAAGGGGGGCGGCCTGGGCAGCACGCCTGCTCTCCCACTGCGCTTGTCCGTATCGGACCCGACGGCTGACCCAGATGCTCCCCCCGCATGCGCCAGTGCAAGCTTCTGCTGCATCTGTGCTGATATTGTGGAAGGAGGGCCCATGGACTTCCGTAGAGCAGCTGCTGAGGCCTCACTTTCACCGCCTGTTTGGTAACGCCACAAGCACAAGGGAGCGGCAAGGTATGCGGTTAAGGGGCCCGAGAACAGTGGCATCGTTCCTTGTGGTGTCTGGTATTACCGGTAACTTGTGCGGTCTAACGCTGCCGAAACGCAACACCGGCATAGGTGACATGCCACGCAGGGCACTTTCGAAGTCAAACTGACAGCAGCCATTCACGAGCCGAGAACTGCACAGACCTGTCACTCCAGCAGCAGATGAGCCTGGCCCTGCTCCGTTGGAACCGCCTGCGTAGCTGCTACTTGACGGGCCTGGTGGTGGTGAGGTCCCCGACCCACCGTGTTGCTGGCTGGAGGCTTGACCCTGGGGCTGCTGGGCTCCCCCGGTAGGCGTAGAACTGGGAGGCCCCTGGTGAACCCCTCCCTGCTGGCCAGAATCTCCACCAAAGCCACCAGAGCTGCCATTTGTTTGCAGCGGTGATATGAGTAAGTCCAGGTCTTGAAGACCGTTCCCTACACCGGGATGGACAACATGTCACATTCTAGGTATGTCGGAAGCATACAGCATTCTTGTGCCGAGGCAGCACCCTTTGGCAAACGTACCAAAAGGCGAAATTAGAGAGCCTGATAAATCGTTTGCCGCCTGGTTCTGGGGCGCGTTCTGGTTAAGAAGTGCACCCATGTCAAAGCCCATTTGCTCGAACGACGGCGTCTGGAATTCCGACGGCGTCTCACAAATGCCTCCAGCGGGTCCCGCCTCCCCAGGGATAGCGACCAAGAGCTTGGATGGCACGCTGCGACCTGCAGACCCAATCCATAGACGTCAAGCAATTACGACAGCCATACCGTGAAGAAGGATATGATAAGATGTTTGATACTTCGTGCTACCTGGGTGAGTCGGGCCGTTGGAAGACTCCTGCATCCTGCGACACAAGGGCGCCCACAAAACAGAAACTAGCTATGAGCAACCCTAAACTCATCAAAGCCTAAGCTGACACTACTTTGTGTGTTGCAGCTATAATCTAAGAGCACTATCAACAACACGGTAATGGTTCGGCGGTTTGACTGCTTTGCTCCAGAGCAAGACAAGGCAAGACGCCCACCTTTCAGGCTGTCAAAAACTGCATTAGGAGCCTAAGTTTCCCAGGCAAGGAAACCCATGCTGTAGAAGCAATAGTACAGCCCTTCAGAAGAGGCTGCCAAACCTACTGCCGTCGTGATCAGCGATTAGTGTTAATGTCAGATCTTTCAGAAAAACCCTTGTATTAGCATGCTGGTTTCGTCCGTCGCGAACTTCGTGGTCGGGGACAAACAAATGCAACGTTAGGAAAGTTGAAGGGCCATGGAAATTACAGTAACCACCTGCTGTTATGTCATACATAACGTTAATGAAGAAATACTGTATATTGCGATGCACGTAGCCATGTCCTGTACACAATACGGCAGAACCCTTCCCCATGCCCAACAAGATCGGCGGACAGGCTGCCTTGTTGCTTTACATCGCAGAGAATGCTACATGGAAGTGCAAGACGATCAACACGATGCAACGACGTCGCCGGTTCACCGCTCACAGTCCGACTTTAAGTCCCATGCGGCTGAGCTGTTGCATAGTATAGCGCCCGCTGGTACGCGTTGATGTACTCGTCCATGTCGTGTGCAGGCAACTCGAACGCCTACGGTTACAAGGCAGGAGTCGAGGGGGGCTGATCCGGGGTACCTGTCAGGGGAGATGCTCACAATTGCCGAGGCCATACGCCTTGCACCCGGACAAGTCCAACCCTGCTTAGCATGGGATGGCACGTGTCGCCGCTTAGGGCACTGCTAAAAACCGCTATTGCCCGGTGATAACGATCCGCGTTAGGACCCCCAGCGAAAAGGAGTCCATTTGACTCCAAGTGCTCGTGTCGCTTCAGCTTGTACGGAACGCGTGTCGTCTACAAACCTTCCGTAATCTCAAAAACTTCGTAACTGACAAACACAATGCCACAAGACTAGCAACTATACCGTAACCGGTACCCAACAGATGACCCCGACGCACCTCGTCTTCAATGTACGGATAGTCCAACTCCTCAGCTTGAAGGTGCTGTCCTGGGGACTCCACACCCAGCCCCTCATCGTAGTACGCCGGGTAGCCCTCGACGCCCTCGATGTCCACCGCCCCCACTCCACCGTAACCCTCTGCTTGGTCCCAAGCCATGTACGGCCCAAGCTGCGGGTCGTTGTCAAGGCCCTGCAACTCCTGTTGCTCCAGTTGCAGCTGCTGCTGTAGCTGCTGTCCTTGAAGCCGGCGGATGAGGTAGGGTGGGAGCGGCGTCGTTTGCGGCTTGAAGGTGCAGTGCTGCAGCTCCAGAGCTGCACGTTCGCTTTCGAGCTCGGCGCGCAGTGCATCCCGCTGCCGCCGCTTATGCGCCACATGTGCCAGATAGGCGTCCGGGTTCCTTAGGTTGATGCGGGGCCGCACCTGCGCAAACCAGGCAAGAGGGACAAGAGGGCGATCGGTGCGTCGATGACATGCCACTTGGCAGCCAAGCCTGAGCTGTAGCTGGTATGATGTGAGGCGAAGGCGGCCGGCTGCTTACAGGAGGAATGAACCCCTAAGAGCTAACCGATGCTCAAGGCGCTTGCACCCACGGCATAGGCATCACCCTTTAGTGCGGCCGACGTTAGACGACGTATCCGGTACCCCATGCCCCCTCGACATGCAACGTCATACACCCCCATAGGTTCCCCCAACACCCACGTGCGAGAAGGCTTCCTTGTTGGCGAGCTGCGGCTTGAAGGTGGCGCCCTCCACCTCGCGGACTTGCTGCAGCGCTCGCTGCTGCGCAATCCACTCCTCCCGCCGAGAGCGCCCCCCGTCCGCCAGCTCCTCTACGTTGCGGCCCGGCAAGGCAGCCGCCTTCCGGGTTATCTGCGAGCATGGAAGGCACCGTTGGATGTTTAATTTATCGGATGATGCAGAAGGCTCCCCGTCTGCCTGACCCGTGGGACGGACAGAGCCTAACAAAACACGGAAACGGAGAACTCATGCACACGGCATGGAGGCCCCTCCATCACTCTCATGATGTGCTTCCCCCACTTCTGCACAGCACTGTGAACGAGATGGCACGCCTGTATAGCATTCCACATTATTATTGGAGGAGGTCCGCACCTGCGGCTGGAAGGTGCACTCTTTGTACATCTCCATAATGGTCCGCACGCGACGGTCGTGCCAGGTAGGGGATGAGTAGGAGGTGAAGGTGGACGCCTCGCCATGCATGCCGCCCCCAACGCCCTCCTGGCCCACCACCTGGGAACTGCTGCTTTCCCGCAGCCCCCGCTCCCGCAGCAACTTCTTGCTCCCGGGCGACATGCGCGGCCCAGCTGGTGAGCTGTGCACGCTCTGCGACATGACACGGGAAACAAGAGAAGTACATCATGAAAAGTGTCTGGAAGGCGGCCTTCACCAGGAAATGTCCACAGTGCAAAGGGAAGCGTGGAACAACACCCAAAGACAGGATGCCCCTTTGGCCGCACCTGCTCCAACGACTGCAGCTTCTCCTCGCGAATGGCAAGGAAGCGCCCCTGCCGGTCCAAGAACTCCTCCCAATTCAGGTCAGGGCTGATGCTGATGGTCGTGTGCATGCTGCTCGCATGGTTTGCACCTCCATCCGCACGAGTATTGCTGCGCGGGCTAGCAGCTGGGCCCTGCTCACTGGGACACGGGGGCTGCGAGCCGCCGGGGCTCAGGCAGCCGTGTTCGCCACGCAAGTGCGGCGCGGACTTGGGTCGAGCGGCCGAGCCCGTGGATGAGCTGCGTAGGGAGGCGGGCACAGCAGCCGTGGGTGGCGCGTCGTGGTGCTTGCTGTCCCGGTGGTGGTGGAGGTGATGGTGGTGGTGGTTGCTACTGGGGCTGGTAAAGTGCGGGTGCACATGGCTGTGGTGGAGGTGGCCGTCAAAGCGTTGATAAAGCGCGGAGTCATCAGCGGCTCGGACGGACATAGCACGGAAACGGGTCCTGGAGGCCGTCCGGGGAGCGGGTCGGAGACACTCGGCACGCACATCGACAGGGGCTGGGCACCAGCGTATCACACAGCAAGGCAGAAGGCTCTGGTGAGGGATGCAGGTGCATGCGATACCATGAACTTGGCTACCCATATCCTAGAAGCAGCTGTGGAATGAGCAGGAGGAAGCGCACTACCGCGTAGGGTGCCTTCACGGCTTTACCCACAGCAAACACACCTGGGGTGGAACGTGCACTCCTCCATGCCGGTGGGCAGGTGCCGAGCTACAGCAGACTGCTGCGGCGGGTCGTAAACCCGCGGCGTGATGCCCTGCACCGACGCCGTGAAGTGCCGCTGCCGCTCCTCCTCAAGCAGCTGCTGTACGACACGCTCCTCCTGCCGGAACCGCCGCTCCAGCGCGCGGTTGTACAGCCGTGACCCCACCTTGGCACCGTCCACTATGACTTTGCCTGGCTTGTCGCTGGCGCTGGGGCTGCTCACGTGGTTGCTGTTAACGCTGCTGCACTCGGCCGCTGAGGCTGAGGCTGCAGCAGCAGCAGCAGCAGCTGCCCTGACGTGGCTGCCATGGCTGGCTTGCGCTGTGGAGGAGGAATTGCCGCTCGACGCAGCGGCCCTGCTGGCGGTGCTAGGGGTCCAAGTATCTAGCCGGCGGTGGGGCGTCTGTGTTGAGGAAGTGTTGCAGGCGCTTTGCGGGCGGGGTTGAGGAGCCGGAGCCGTGTCCCGGCGGTGCTTTGTGGGGGTTCCCCACTTGGTGGCGTCGTTGTAGACCTCGGAAGGCGGCTTGCCCTGCATGACGAGGTGAAGAGCCGGGTGTGAACGCCACCAAAAAATAATTAAACCCTACATCCTTACACCGGCCCCAGTCTGCAGTTCTCTCTGCCCCAGCCCCGCCGCACACACAGCGTGGAACCCAGAGTTGCAACCAGCAGCATGCAATCACGCACGCGGGGCGGCACCTGCATAATGAGGTTGGAGGCCGGGCTGACTTGCGGCGAAAAGGTGCAGCCCTCCAGCTCCATCGCCTCGCGCTCCTTGCGTGCCTTCGCATGCTGCTCCTCACAGCGCTTGCGCCACTGGAGGCTCCGCTGGTAAAGCTGCTGCAGCCGGGCCGAGCGCTCCTTCTCGGGCAGCCTGACAGGGGCCCTAGAGGGCGATGTGCTCTTGGCATCACTCAGACCCGGCTCCCCGCCATATCGATCAAGGCTAGTGCGGGCGTTCAGCATGCTAAAGGCTTTGGAGGCAGTGGAAGGTGCGGAAGCCGTGCTGCGTCCGGGTCTGGGTGATGCTGTGCTTGCAAACGTTGCCGCGGTGCGAGCGGTTGATGCAGCTGAGCACGCGGTGCTGCCACCATTGCCGCCAGCACCTACATCCACAAGGGAGGTTGGGAAAATCGTAAAACAGCGGCAGGATCCCAACGCATTGCGCCGGAACCCGCGCCGGACAGTACCATGAACTCTATGCTAACAGCCTACCATGCGAGGCTTGGCTGCCACCTGCTTTGTCGGTTGTACTGATATGCGCTGTCGCTGCCTCTGTGGCCGCCTGGTCTATTTGGGGCTCCGGGACGGCGGCATCGCCGACACTGGCAGCCGCGGCAGAGGCGGCATTCAGCAGCTGCTGCTGTCGCAGCCTTTCCCGCATCCCTTGTAGCGATGCGGTCACTGCTGCTGTAAGCGTGAGGCGAGGGCTTGGTTCTGCTGAGCAGGGAGTGTCAGCGCTAGGGCACCCTGCAGGCCGAACCCCCACCGCGGTGGCGTTGGAGGGCGTCTCTTCAGGCTTCTGATCCGCCCCTACTGGCCTGGGTGCGCTAGCTGGTGCAGTTGCACCCGGCTGTGCTGGGATGCGGCTGCCAAGCAGCACAGCCTCCGTCCGTGACGGTTGCCGCGGGGAAGCTCCTGCGCGAGGGCTCATTCCCGCCATCCCGTCAGCCGTCGATGCCATGGTATTGGTGGCGCAGGAGGGCAGCAACGACCGTGGGCTGAGGACCCTCCCTGCACGTTTCAGCACGGAGAACGATAATAAAAGCTGTTGACCCACATGGCCCATGCTAAAACGCGTACGGTGCACCCAGTTACCTGCGTAAGGGGTCTGTGAAGCATGAGGAGAGGGTCTCGGGGTCGGACCGGGCCTGCTGCACGACACGCCGACTGCATTCCCCTCTGGACAAGCTTGCATTTCGCGAAGCTCTCGCTCAATTGCCTACGACGTGTCCGGGGAAGGTCCAAGCGCGCATGAAGGGCCACCATGGAAGATAGCCAGGTGCAAGCATTTACTTCTCACACACCTGCTCCGCAATGTCAAGCTCCAGCAAGTCTTTGTTTTCAGATTGTTTACCAGCATCTTCCTGCTCGAGCAAGAAGGACCCAACTACCGTAAGGGTTGCGACGACCTAGTGCCATGCAAGTAGGCAAGGAAAGGGCAATACCTGGATTGCGTGGGAACCCGGCAGAGCAGTTCCTAAAGTGCCCAAGCTTAATCGTGACAAGACATCTGTAATAAGGTCTGCCTCTTCCTGGCTGAGACCAGTGAGGTCGGGAACCATTTTACGTGTCAAGGGTACTACGTGACCCACGAGGCAGCGTGTTACCCTTGTGTTGCTGCTAAAAACAATTAATATGTGACAAGCGACCAATTTTATGTAATTGTTTGGGTCACGTCTACTAGCTAGTAGCCTGGCAACCTATGTGCACTGCCATCCATCCAAAGTCAGAGGCGTAAGTAAGAATGTTGGCGGATGTAGTCATGTTCCCTTAACTGTCCCAACGATAACGGATTCGTACGACCTGAGTTGTAGTCGGCTTGTCGTACATGTCCTTAAATGTGTACTATGCGAGTAAGTGACAGCGGAGCTCCTTGCGCTGTAGCATTCGACCACTGCTCCGTCCCGTGCGACGTGGGGCTACATGCGGGCAGGTAGAATCCTTCATGCGAGCGTTTATCAAGACGCTGCACCTTCCTATCCGCCATGTTCCTACAAAGGGCTCGAGCACTAGCATGCGCAGTACCAAAGTGGATACTGCAAGTCTGGAAACCCCACGAGTGCAGTTGTGCTTGTTATGCGCTGGGACTAGCAAGGCGACCGCCAGGGGTTCTTACAACTGTGGATGCGAGCGTCCACGGTGAAATGAACCGTGTTGTGAGCCCCGCCAGCGGATACAACCGCATGACCAACACGCCCGAGGGCTACGGCCTAAGCTTTAAGCAAACCCAGCTAGAAACTCCCAGCATCAAACGTCTAGAAGGTGAAAGGTCGGCACGCCGAGATGACTCGGCCAAATTCCTGCCTGGCGCCTGTCACAGGGCCGGTACGATGCAGGCCACAACGTCCTGTTGCCCCCTCCCCTAGCAGTCAAGGGTCAAACAAATAACCCGCGTCTCCCTAATAGCACAGTTCGCTAAACCTGCCACGGCTGGTTTACAAGCGCCTGTTTGCGTTGCTCCGCCGCTCTCAGTTCTGATGCTCTAATGCAACCTAATGCGGTGAGGATGCACCTGGTGAATGCACGTGGTGCTTTCGCCAGGCAACCAAACCGCTTACTCAGCCGCCTTCTTCTTCTTCTTGCCCTCCTTGTCCTTCTTCTTCTCCTCCTGAGGACAGCAAAAGAGAATCCACAAGGTTTACATTCCGGCAGGTGCTTTTGAGAACTCGGTAAGGCTCCTATGCCAACTAGGCGCATTCCAACTTTGCCAAAAGCACAGACGAACAAGCAATTCCTCACCTTGCCGTTTGCCTCCCCATCAGCCACCTTGGCCTTCTTCTTCTTCGGCTGCTCCTCCTCTACCTCCGCCGGCTCCTCGGCCTTCTTCTTCTTCTCCTTCTTCTCCTTCTTTTCCTAAGGAGGGGAGGGAAGTATGGGTACATGGTGAATGGAAAGAACGCTTTGCTAGCGTCCATAGGACAGCAAACAATAAGCTTTGCGCCAGCGTCCACAGGGCAGCCAGCATCCCTTCAGCCGCAATCCTTACCTTCTTCTCCTCAGCAGCCGGCTCAGGCACGTCCGCATCGGCGTTGTACGCCTTCGGCTGGGTGGCCAGGGCTGGCGTGGCGCCTTGCCGCGTCTTGTCGTACTTGACGGGCTGCTCCTTGCCCTTCGACGTCCCCGCCTCTGTTCCAAGCAGCTTGCCCTCCAGTTGGCGCAGCCGTGCCTCGACCTGCAGGGTGATAGGAGGATTTTAGCCGGCCCCGAATCCATAGAACCGTGCCCCGTACTTTTCACATACCTCATGGCCATTCATCGCCTCCTATAATACCTGGTGCATGTCCCTAAAAGCCCCTGTATGTCCGCCCAAGGAATACCCATTTCCCAGGCTCTGGCGGCTCTCCGTCTTACCTTCTGTCGCGCCTCCACACCCACGGTGGCATCGTTGGCGTCGCCCAGCGCGTCCACCCTGATTGCCAGCGCGCACTTGGCGGCCAGCACACGACTGATCTTGCCCTTGTACTTGGGCGCAGACTGGCCAATCAGCGACGCGTGGTAGATGAGGCCGTACTTGGGCGTCTCGTGCTTCGTCTTAAGCGCGCGGAACAGCGCCTTCTCCGCACCCAGGATCTGCACTGTGCTGGCTGGCTGCTTGGCCAAGTTGATGAGGCTGCCGGCGTGCGCAATCAGACGCGCGCCCACCAGCTCACCCACCAGCACCGTCAGGTTGGGCGCCACCGCGTTCATGCGGTTGCGCAGGTACTCGAACAGCTGTCCGCGGTACTCCGACAACGCAATGACCTGGTTGGCCAGGTCCTTGATGTTGTCGAGGTCCGACTCGCTGATGTCGGTGCCCATGGACACCTGAGCCGCTGCCTTGAGCTGCCCCTCCACCTCCTCCTCCAGGATACCCGAGAAGTCCAGGCCCTGCGCCTGGTCGCGCGTGCCCATGAAGACCACCGCCTTGGCGTAGTGGATGTTGTCGGTAACGATCTTCGTCATCTCAGGGAAGTGCCAGCCGTACCACTCTCGCACGCGCATGGCATAGGTGTTGAGCTCCTTGTCCAGGTCGTCCAGCAGGCCGATGGCTTGCACGATCATGGTGTCCACCTTGTCGGGGCTGAACTTCAGCTTGTAGCGCGATAGGCTGTGGCTGAGACCTAGCGACATGGGCCGCAGGTCAGCGCCCGCCAGGCCGCTGCGGGTGAGGGACAGCCGGTGTGGAGTTAGTTTCGGAGGTGAGGGGTAATGTGTGTAGGGTTACACGGAACGGGGTGCGGCATGAGGGGTAAACGTAGCCGCGGTGGCGGCGGAAACGCGCTCACCTGATGAGGCCAGTAAGCTGGCTGCGGATGCCACGGCTAAGCTCAAGGACTTGGTTGCTGCGGGACGTGGAAGCAGGGTATTAGTAAGGGTATCCCCGCAACGCGAGAGGTCCAACGAAACTCGCACCTCCAGAGCACGTTCAGGCCGAGCTTCTCTTGGACAATGCTTCCCAGCTTCTTGTCAAGGATGGCGAGCTTCTCCTCAGCATCGACGTGCTTTTTGAGGAATTTCTTCAGTCCTGCGATGGCCATGGACAACCCTCAGGCACCAATATCAGGAAAGGTGTCGCGCTTAACCGACGCACCCTTGCTCAGCTTGCTGTCAACAAGCGCTGTGGCAGACGCGAGCGCCTCCGTCGTGTTCTCGAACTTGCTGAACGCCTTGAGCTTGACAACCTGCGTTGCAAGGGTTCGTTAGAGCCACCACTGTACCCAACATCGGTATCACGCCTTTGCGTACCTTCTGCGCCTGCTCAAGCGTCTGGAAATCCGCAGCAAGGTCCTGCGAAAAGCGAACAAGCCGCCGCCGTCACTAGCCGTCACATCGCCGCCGCTGGCGCTCACATAGCGAATGTTTAGAATGCTTACTTCTGCCTCCTCAATCTTCTTCTCCTTCAGGACTTTAAATAGGGCAAAGCCCGCCGCTGTTTCAAAGAGCAGAAGCATTTTGCTGTATTTAATATGATAGCAGTTATTACTTTCTGGGTGATTGTAACCTGTCAATATGCGAACGTAGTTCGCTTTAGACGGAAAGTAGGAAAGCAAGACTGCAAGAGCTAATAACGACCGCCCTCCGCCGTACGTGCGTCGTATTCCAGTTTACATAAGGTACTCTTGTTCATTGCGTTCAAGAACCTCTAAACTCGGACTATTTGAGCTTCCCCTCTGGCGACCTAAACTCTTCAATCCTGATGGTGCTTGGCGTGTATTTGCAAATTCCCACTGACATTTGCTCTAGATAATGGATGTTAAAGAGCTCTACACTCCTGGGTCTGTAACCCTTATGGTGCTTTCAGTGCGAGTTAAAGCCCTGGAGCGTGCATGTTGCTGTGGCCAAGACATGTGTTTGCCCCCTTGTGTTTTAGAAGCTGTCAGCAGCGTGCATTCGTAAGTTCGTGTAAGCAGCATACAATAGGCTTAAAATTGGAATGGGTCTTCAACTACAAAGTATCAGCAAGATATCTCGTCGGCTCCGTAAACCCTAACTCTGACACGAAGTTCACCAGCGGCAGACAGGAGCATAGGAGTCTGCAAGGTGTTAGGAAGTGTTGAGCGGGGGGAGGTAAGAACACCAACGCACATACCAGTGTCGATGGTGCAGCAGGCAACAAAGGTATCATGCCGTTGAACCGTGGCGTCCTTCATGATCAACCGCATTGCAAGCCCGATAATTTGGTCTTTAAGCGTTGTGCACATTCGCACATTTCCGTTTCTAGGGTTGCCGCTATTGTGCGCAAGTGATGAATGCCCCTACATGCCTCCGCCGTTACAAGCCTCGGCAAGATGGCGGCTATTTTACCTGTTCGGTTAACGCCCGACCGCTGGTCAGCAAGTTTTGTATAACTTCAGAGCTCAGTCACGCATGCGCATCCTCAAGCCTTCCACTGTCGGCAAGTTACCCCTAGGTAGCCCTTGTATTCCGCATATGGGGCATGCCCGAATGGGGCGCGGTAGTAGCAGTGTACGTAGAAGGTGCCCGGCATAGGATGTTACAGCGACGTACACAATGCAGATGACCAGCTGTATTCATGCATTTCGTCCGCTCTAGACGGCCCCGTGCAGTTCACACGCCTCCGCGAGCCGGCATCCATGCCGCCACAGCCTCCACCGTGCCGCCTCTTCCCATCACGCGTCAGCGGGCCCCGCCTGGCGCTTCTCAGCACGCTTCATAGTCCGCTTGAGGTTCTTCTTCTGCGCCCGCGACATCTGCGGGCCGTCCGAGGGCTCAGCCGTGCCGCCACTTTGCTTGCCCTGCTGCTTGTCGTCCCGCTTGCGCTTCCTCCCAGCCAGGCCCTGCCCGTCGCGCGCCCAGCCTGAATCCTTCTTCAGCGTCGGCACAGCGTACGACGCCAGACGAGCCTGCGCAGGATCCACCTGCCTCTGCTCCCGCTCTTTCCCATGTGGCTTGCCGCCCTGCTGCTTCTTGCCTTCGCGCCCGCCCTTCGCTGCCCCGGCGGCCTGCGAGCCAGGCCCTGGACCAGCGTTCTCGCCGCCGTCGCGGGACCTCTGGGTCGCCTTCCTGTCCTTGCGGTCCTCCTTCCGCGCATCCCCGGATCGCTGCTGCCCTGCGGCTGCGTCACCAGAGCCATCCGCGGCAGCACTGCCAGGGCCAACGCCGGCAGCCTCGCCAGCCTCCGCCGCCTTGTCCCGCTGGCCTCCCTGTCGGCCGCCGTCCCGGAACTTTTGCCGGTCCTTTTTCCAATGCTGTCGCCGGTGTTGCTTGAGTTGAGCTGTGGGCAAGCGGTATGTGACATGATGTAGGTAAGGATTTCTATTGCACGGACAGGCGTTTAGGAAGGTTCGTCATTTGAGGGAGGGCAGCGAGCTGAGTGCTGCTTTGACGTGTACTACCAAGACAAGTAGGCAGGTGAGTTCGTGTACGACATCACTCCCCAGACCCGTGTGCCGTACACACCTTTTTCGCCCTTGATCATCTCCAGCGCCTTGTAGTTGGGGCGTTGCTTCTCGATGTCTTCGCGGTACGGCGCCAGGCGCTTCATACCCGCCACCTGGTTCAGGGACTTATCATCCAGACGCAGGATGTCGTCCACGCTCAGACCAAAGGTGCTGGCGGGCACCTGTTGTGAGGTGAGGTGGAGGGGGAAAGGAACGCAGGACGTGTGACAAGGGGGTGCAGGGCCAGGCCCCAGGAAATGCCACGCTTGTTAGCAGGCCATTGCATGTCAGCGGGGAGCGTTTCGGGCAGGTTGACATTAAACGTAAACTGCAGGCCGCCTCCTAGCATGCGCTGCCGCCAGACAGGGAAGCAGGCGCACGTCCTACCGCATCTCTTCTTCCACTGGGACCACCGCACCCACCCCCGCCTCACCTCCCTGTACTTGAAGCGCGTCTTGATGCCGCCCACGTTGTCCTCATAGTCCAGCTTGTAGTACTCCTCCAGCAGCCGCTGCAGCTCCGCGCGCTGCCGGGCCGCCATCTCGGGGTCGGCCTTGCGCTTCTTGCCCTCCTCCTCACCCTGCGGCGGACAGCAGCGGGGGAACGGGTTACGGATGGGTATGCAGACCTGCGTGAACCCAGCCAGGAGCCTTGCGAAGGCGCAGGGAAAGACGCCGCGTTCTGCTGCCGTTGATGTCATTGTACCCTAATATACCCTAACAAGCTTTAGCGAAAAAAACACCCATGAGTGCCGCAAAGCCAGGGCCCCTTAACAAGCCCCCCTAACACCCCCACCCCCACCCTCTCCCACCTCTGGCTCCTCGCTGAGCGCGTCCACCTCCTTTAGCTTCTTGCGCAGCGTGCTGAACCGCACCGGCTTCTCCCCATCCCCCTCCTCGCCGCCGTCTCCGCTGCCCTCCGCTTCCTCCTCGCTGCTGTCCTCCATGTCACTGCCCAGCAGGTTCAGGTCCTCCTGCAGCCCCTCCAGCTCCTCCTCAGCCTGCGGTGCGGTACACAGGCGGCAGAGCAGGTGGCGAGTGGGTAGGCAGGCACGCGTGGCAGGTAGAGGAGCGGTAAGGCAATCCGGGAATGCCAGAGTTAAGAAGGAATAATCCCGTTGAGGAACCGTCTTATTCTCTGGCGCGGCTCAGGATATGGGTTTATGAGGAAAACCCCATAACGTAACACACGCGAGCGCCCAGTGACCTCCAGCAACGCAAACAGCACACACATGCTCACATCGTAGTAGTCGTCATCGAAGGCTGCCGCCATCTTCTTGTCCCACTCCTCAGGGTCAAAGTCGCCCTCCAGCACATCGTCCAGGGACGCGGCGGTGGGGGCAGCAGCGCCCGCAACGTTGCGCAGCTTGTCAAGCCTGCAAGTTGCGAATAGACAGCATCGTAAGCGGCTTTCCATGTACCACCCATGCACCCAGGTAGGAAAGGTGCCTATGTCAGCACCCAGCCAATTGGTGGGCCTGTCGGTGGGCCTGTTGCGATCAACCCAGTACGGTGCTTCCGGTGTACCCCAGACGCACATCGTGGCATCGCTACAGGTGGCAAGTGACCGGCAACCCAACCTACTTGCTCTCAATCTCCTGCTTCTTGAGGTTCTTGAGCCGCTTGACCTCCTCGCGCGCCGCCTCCTCCGCCTCCTCCAGCCGCTGCTTCTTGGCGTCGCGCTGCCGCTTGCGCTTGTCGTCGGGCTTGCGGATGGTGCCCTCCACGACACGCGGATGCGTGACGATGCGGTCCGCGCCCGGCTCCTCAAACCTAGATGTCAATATATACGGGCAGCGATTAGGGCAGCGAGTAGCAGGCAGGTGAGCAGGCAGGCAAGAGTCGGGCTTACAGGGGGAGCACATCCCATTGCCGTCAGGAATGGGATGAAAAGACGAACAGCACCGGTTCCGGGCTGTGGCCCGACCCCGCCGGCTCTGGCCTCGCACCCAAGGAGCTCGCACCTGAAGTTGTACTTGGCTTCAAAGGCATCCATTTGGCGCAGGTAGGCCTCGTCCTCCTCGTCGTCCACACCCGCCCCGCCGTCTTCCTCCTCCTCCTCGCCCACCACCTCACGGTAGGAGGGCACGTAGTCATCGTCTCGGTCCACCCAGCCCTGCGGGGGCCAAAGACCATACCATACCATAGGAAGCCACAGGTTAGGGTAAATCAAAGGGGTGGGGCACGGCAGCAGCGTTGGCCGCATCACCGGGGTGGTGCTCGCCACAGCAGGGGCTAGGTCGCTACCACTGTGCCGCGCATTTGCCTCGTCTACACCCAGGGGCTGCATGGCGGAATGCTACGGAATGCTCGTTGTAGGACTGCTGCCCTTCCATTCCCTTCGTTTCCCCATGGGACAAGGCGCTTACCTTGTTCAAGATGTATTCTTTGAGGAACTTGTCGTCCGGGTGGAGCTCGCCCTCGGAGCCAAAGTAAGCCTCGATCAACTGCCGTACGGACAGGGACCCAAGCAGGGGTGTGAGTAATGTCCTGCCGCATGGCAGCAGCAGCAGCAGCACATGCAAGCCAAACGAGGCCCAACCCCAACCTGTCAACACATCGGGCTAACGGCAACATCCACCTAAAACAGCAGCAGCGGAACCCCCCACCACCAGCTGCCCATGCGCACGCCCACCTGTTGGAATTGGCCTTGGCCCTCGCCCTTCTGCCCGCCCTTCTGCCCGCCCTTCTTGCGCTTCGCCTCGGGATCAGCCTCCTGCTCCTCGCTCTCCTCACTCTCCTCACCACCTGACGCCTCCTCCCGGGCGCGCAGACGCAGCACCCCGCCCGGGCCCTCCTCAGCCTCCGCAACCACAGCATCCTATCGTGGGCACAATCCGGGCCAAAAGGGGCAGCCACGGTTGCGACATGACATGCAGGTGAGGGCTGCAGGCTACATGGCCTCGCCGTACTGATGGTGCGGCGTCCGAAGCAGCAAGCAGCACTCTACCAAGGGCTTCACCGCCAGTGAAGACGGTTTAAGGGGGGACACCTAATCGTAAGCATGTATCCGCACAAGGGCTGGGTTGCAGCTTGCAGGGCCACGGCCGTCTGCGCGTGCGGCTCTGGGCCCTGCCCCGCCCCCTCACCTCCGCTGCCTCCAGGAAGGCCTTACGCAGGTCCTCCTGCTCCGCGTCGTACGCCTTGGGCTTCCGGGCGCCCTCCCGCTTGGCGCCGCCGCCCTGCTCCTCCTCATCGCTGCTGTCCCCGCCGGGACCGTACTCCAGGGCCTGGGCGGGCGAACACAGGCGGTACATGGGATTGGATTGGTATCGTGGTAATAGTCAGCGAAAGGCGTGTCCTGCTAAGGCTGGTTTTCAACCATGAACAGAACCGCGCCTGTAGCTCAGGCTTATACCCGCAGCATCCCTAACGGGCAACCATTTCCCCTGTCACCCCGCGTCCCTTTAGCATGTCTCACCGCTGCCACCGCCACAGCCCCAGCTGCCTCTACTCCACTCTCGCACCTGCTTGGCAATGAGGTCCTTCAGGAACACGGGCTTAGCCTTGGCGGACTTGGGCTTCTTGCTGCCGCCCTCCTCCTCCTCCTCACCACCACCACCCTGCCCCTCCTCGCCCTCGTCGTCAAAGAACTTGACGTCCTTCTGGTAGATTGCGGGATCCTTGCGGCGGATGCGCATCAGCGTCTCAAAGATCTTGGCCTCCGTGTCAACCGGGATCTCTCCATCGTCCTGTGTAGAATGGAAAGGTCAGGAAACGGGGGAAGGGGAAACGGCAGGGTCCGTCCTAGTAAAGCGTACACCCTCTTTTGGCAGCGGGCAAGGCGCCTGACGGCTCCTCCTCCTTGTGCCGCGTGCGGGTTTCCCTCCTCCCTGTCATTCCAACCCCTCACAACCGCTGCGCCATGCCTTCACGCCCCATGCCCCGAAGACGCCAGCATTGCCCCGCCGCACCTCCTCCTCCTCCGAGCTGTCATCATCCCCTAGCGGCGGCGGCTCCTGCCCAGCAGCAATTGCGGCCTCCCGGGCAATCTGAGGAGTGAGGGGGGAAAAATTAAATAAGTGAAACAACCAGTCCCAGTCCCATATCCCGTGCAGTGAGCGCATTTGAGGGGGATACAGTCGAGCGGTGACTCAGCTGACTCTGATACCCACCATGATTACATGAGGCCCTTTCTGGGTATTAGTTACTCAAACCTCCCTTGCGAACACACGTCCTCCAGAACAGTCCTGTATGCAGCCGCAAGTGCACCCCTACAACCCTGGTGTACCCCCCACTCCCCCACCCCGTCCCCCCGTTGCGCAAGCCTGAACGATGTTACCTTTCGTGCAAGTTTTTCGGCCTCCTCAGGGTACTTCGCTTGCAGGCGATGAAGCTCCTCACGCCGTTTGTTGTGCTGCAAGGGGTCGCACGACGTTGGCGCAGCCGCCGCCGTCAGAACACAACCAACGGACAACAGGAGCAGCGCGGTATGGAGATAAGCAAGGCGCTGCCGGGGGCCTTACTTACCTCGAATCGCGTTGCGTACTCCTTATTCACGCGAATGCCAAGGTCCGTCGCGCCATCGGCTTCGGCGTCCTCATCATCTAACAAGTTCTTCTTTCTTCTCTTGTTCTCAGACATCTTTCAAATATGAGTAGCCTTACAAAGCTTGTGTAATAGGCCTCTTGTGTCGCAAGTTAGGTCTCACTAACGCCAAGCAGTCTGACAGCGAATCGAGCTTAATCTGCTTATGGTAGGAATAGCCAAGTTACTTTTGGCTTGCTACAACTCTGGGCAGTGCGGATGGTCGGTTGTAGTACAATACGATAATAGTCAATCAGGCTCCGTGTTCCTGAACTGGAAATGGTTTCTTATGAGCGATAGTAACCGAAAAGAACCGTAGCTGCTGTGAGCGATCTACTGCGAGCAACTACCATTACCATTCACTCTTGCGACGGACCATCTCCCGTTGTATGCGCCGTGGGACCTTAGCCTGATCATTACATTGCACTATGGCCGTGGAGGGCGACGCTGCCGGGGACGCTCCGGACCAGACTCGCCCATCTTGGGACGTTGGCGTAGAGAATCCTCCAGCACCTGCCGCTAGCGCACCTGATGAAGCTGCTAGCGCGGTGGCAAGGCCTTCAGACGAGGAAATTTTTGCTCAGCAGAACCAGATACGGTGGGTCCCTCAGCACAACCGCACGGCCGCCAGGAGCACCGGGGCTATGAACTGCGCCTCAAACTGCGCAAATGACCAAACGAACGCAGCGGCAGCAGCGGAAGTAGTGCTGCTGCCGCCCTTGCTGCTGCCGCCGGCTGCTCTTGCTGCAGGCATCCCCCGGAGCGGTGCGCTCACGCTGGGAGGTCGGGGCGGGGTGTGCATTGCAGAGGCTGAAGGAGAGGTGGAGCTGCGCAGCGGGGTTGAGGGGCAGCGGAGGCGGCGGAGGAGAGGACGAACCGTCGGAGCTCGGGCCGCCGAAGGGCAGGAATCCTCCTGGGCGGAAAGGGATGCGCAGGAAGGAGGGAAGAATAGGGCATGGAGCCGGCACGGGCGGAAGTGGGTGGCACAGCCCAGGCTCAATTTGTTCTATACCTGTATCTTCAACCGCTCGGACCATGAGCCCTGGAGTCTGACGCTGGCCTCAGTAATAACCTTCCCTGTCGCTTATCTAGGTAGGATGCAAAGGCGGGTGCCGCCAGCAGCGCCGCTAGTCGGATCACGGACCCGTGGGTCGCTTTCAGGCCCGAAGGGTGACGAACCAGCGCGGTACGACGCCGACCCATTACGCCGTACGGCAGACCGTTGGGCGCCATCCAAGGGTCCGGAGCAATGAACAGATGGTAGTTGCCAGGCCTGGGCAAGTTGTACGTCACGTTGTACGGCAAGTTGCACGGCAAGCAAGATCATATCGGTAACACAAACACAAGGCTCCTAAATCCCTTTGACCACCAGCGCAATGCCTAATGAGTCCAATCCCATGAGTCGCCTCCTCCGCCCACCTATCCTGCCCCGCCAGCTGCCCCGCTGCCCAATCATCGAACTCCTGACCCTCCGCGCCCATCACCACCCGCAGCGCCGCAGCGGAGGCGGGTGCGGCCAGGTCCAGACAGCCTAGCCCGCCTCCCGCCAGCTTAGCCTGCTGGGCGGGCTGAGGCTGATTGGCGGGTGGCTACTGCTGACCCCCTGCTGCCTGGGTCCTTCCGCCTCCTCCTGCTGCTCCCCCCGCTCCCCCTGTTGTTGCTGGCTGGCGGGGGGACCGCGGTGCGGGGCTCCAATAGGAGGCGGAGCAGCGGCCCGGGGCGTCTAGCAGCACCCGCACGTGCAGGGGGACCTGGGGGCGGAAGGTGTAGGTGGAGGCGTGGAGGTGTGGAGGTGTGGGAGCGGGGGGACCAGCAAGCAGCAACAAAGCAGCAACACGCGCCGACAACAATCGTTACACGGTGCATGGTCCTCCCTCTGCATGGGCTGTGCGGGGCACCCACGGGTTCCGCCGCCCCTCACCTCCTCCCAGCCGTGGCCCCACAGCCCGTATCTCCCACCCCCCCTCACCTGCTGTCCCCCCAGCCCCGACTCCCGCAGCACTGCGCCCCCCAGCTGCTCCGCCAGACGGGGGGCCTGGGCGGGCGGGGGGCAGCTGTCGGGGCTGGAGGCTGTCACGGTGGGAGGAAGGAGCAGAGGGGGAAGGAACAGAAGGGGGGCAAAACAAGGAATGAAAAATTGAAGCAACCAATCCCAACTTGGGAGTGATGACGGTGTGCGCGTGTCATTGTGCTAGGACACGCGCACACCGTCATCCACCGGTAACAAGGGTTAGTGTGTTAGACCGGTAGACCTAGCACTCTAACACCCTCCCACCTGGACACACCACATAGGCTGTGATGGCAGCACCGGCCCCGGCCCCGCCACCCGAACCACCACCCGCAGCACCACCGCCACTGCCATCAGCTGCTGCCCCCTCCTGGTTGCTGCTGCTACTGTTGCTGTTGCAGCCGCTGTCGTACTCTCGTCCCCCAAAAGCGCCAGTGGCCGCCTCTAGCTGCTCCAGGAGGGGAAGCGGCAGGGGGGCGCGAGGAACCCGCACGCTGTTGTACCCCAAGGGCAGGACTGTGGGGGTTTTGAAGGTTGGCGGCAGGTGGATGGACCGGTTGTAGGAGGGTAGGAAAGCGGTTTGGATTGGGTTGCTGGTCAGTAGGGTGTGTGATGTATAGTGAGGGGGTGAAGATAGCGGACAGGTGCAGGCGGCAGGTGTTCATGGGTAAGGGAAATGGGTCGGGAAATGGGGTCCAGATGTCTGATACCGCATGGCCTGTCCAGACGTAGGCTTACCTATGATAACATATGAAGCTACGAATATTGATGTCCACAGGCGCCGCCTTGCGGGCGGCGCTTGAGAAGGGACCATGGAGACGAACCCCACTCGGCGCCAATTTAGCTTACAGAACCGCGCCTTATGCAAGCAGTACCGAAGCGGTTGGCAGCAACGGCTACTTGGATACCGTACCTGTGTCTGATCACCGCGCAGCAGGAAATTTAGGGATTAACGCGCAGCGCTGTAAGGAATTTTTTTGTAACGCGCAGGGGTCTGAGCAATTATAATCCACTTCGCGCAGCCTTAAAAGTAGTACTGTATTAGCCTAAAGCTTACACTAGAAAGACCGGAAAGCAGAGCAAGCAATGGAAATGCAGACACCCAAAGCTATGGTTCCGATCGGGTGAGAGTATGGATGGGGCCAAAAAAAGAGTGAAACCCGTCAGCTTCGCAGACACCGGGGCTCGCCCCCTTTTTAAAAATTGCGAAGTCGCTGTGAAGTCTTGCCAAGGAGGGATGTGTATGCGTGCCGGCTTGTGTGGAGCGGAGTGGAGGGAGGTCGTACAGTTGGGATGCGTATTACATGTCAGTGCTATGCGTAGAAGCGTCAGTGCGGTCCGTGGGCGTGCCTGTGTGACCCTGCTTCCCCGTAAGTCGACGCGAGGTCTGGCGGTGCGTAGAGCTAGTGGAAACGGGAACATGGGTCGACAAGAGCAAAACCCTAGCTGCGCCGCCAGCCTCCTCTATCCCAACGTATGCATGCAGGCGCCTCACCGGACATTTTTGAAATCAGACCGCCATGCTTGAAAACCTAGATTTGTTTGGCGAAACCACCGTAAAAATCCGAGCGCAGTGCGTCCAGTAATCACACGCCATTGAAACACAGTCAAACAGCCTGCTAGCAGGGAGGGGAAGGTAGTCCGACCTTTTGCGTCATGTTGGAAACCATGTCAATAGTGTATCCCTGACGCGCACAGTAGGCACCGATCCTCTAAGTCTAGGGTGTGCCCCAAAACGTGGGACGCAGTACGGAAGCCCAACACTGCCCACACTGGGTAAAACTAGTAAGAGCACGATAGCACCCATTGACGCGCAGCAGCAGTTAATGTGCGCTGGCGTTGCGCGCAGCATCTATGAATAGCAATCGGGGCGAGCCAACCCGGAACCTGGGGGCAGCACGCACTGGGGGCCACACCACGGGCAATTGTTCAGTTAACGCGCAGTCCTTTGGGGAATTAATTTTTTTAACGCGCAGGCCCCGGACCAATTATTTAATTTTGCGCGTTAATGCACATTTCTCCTAATAATTATTTATTTTTGCGCGATGATCACTGGGAGGTACGGTAATGGTCCTCTATCAGACATTTGTTTGTAAACACTTCCCACTGTATTCTAATATAACGTATGTGCTGATCAAACACAAAACCTATCAGCCGGGCAAACGAACGCGAGTATCACCAGCAACCACTACTAGATCACCGCCTGTATTGGCAACCACTACTAGATCACCGCCCCTGTCCAACAAGCATGCGTCTATGCGCGCATGGATCTGTCACACACTGCGCGTAAGTGTAAGCATCATCGCTCTCTGTGCCCTGCATCCCCCCATCACCGCTTGCCTAATCTCTACAGCCAGCGTCCATGCATACAAGCATCACCCCTACGCTGTGCAGAGCACCTCGGACGCCGCTACGGTCATGTTCATGCCCGCACATGGGTACACTGTACCCAACGGGGGAGCTCCCCACAGCGGTGCCTCCAACCGCCAACCACATTCAACTACTGGCACCCATGCACCTAGGCGTAGTCGCGCGCACCCTGCTCAACCACCACCCCAATACACACAGCTTCCCCACACTGCCCAAATAAAGTCCATCGCATACAGATACCTATTCATGCGCGCAAGACCATATGCGTGCGCCTGTTGTCAACATCAGATAGACTGCCAAAGGGCAAGAGCTCTGCGTGCAGGCATCACCGTTTTCCTGAGTATGGTGCACATGCGAGCCCAAGGTGCGGAGGGGTGCAGACACTCCCCCTCCCCGCATTACGTCACCCCAACCTACGGGCGTTCCTCCTTCGTCCAGTCTCCAGTGCCTAT